GATATCTCACGTTCGTATAACATCCGACTAACCTTCATTAGGACATGCGAACACGGGTGGCGTATTGATTTCTGGTTGGCTGGCGTCTACTGATGGCGTTCTTTTGCTGCCCTATGTATGGGCTTCAGATACCTAAGTACTTGTTAATGATACCGACCATGCGGCTCTGACCGCATGCGACTGATACCCAGACCGAGGCACACCTCGAATTTCACCTAGTTCCCAGCTCCCCGGCCTTGGCCACTTAGACTCCAGTCGTCTCTTGCCTCGCTCGGTCTGCCGCTTTCCTCGGCTAATCTTGAGCTGGATGCATCCCGGTCACTATAAGTGCCGGCTTGTACGAGACAAGAAGAAGCGTGAAAACGCGTCGACGCTTTTTGAGTACGATTCGATTCGCATTGCACTACGGATCTGCGTCGTAATTTATCAGTCGGGACATCTCTGTAAACATCTTAGTATTAATGGAACAACTTTGTATTCATCACATTTTCTTTTCGCTCGAAGGCTTTAAGCAAACCATAGACACCCTAAATCGAAGGAAGATGCAATGCCAGCATATGAAAAGTGTGTTGGCATGTCTCAATATATACCTTCTCCGGTTGAATATACTTGTTATGTCGTTCGTGGATTTCTATATAAAATACCCCACAGTTGAAGTTGCAGTGACTATCCATAAGTTTGGACACCCATTTATACCCACTTTCGCACCGCCTTATCTCATGCCTTATACCGCCTAGTAAAAACGCGCTAGCTATCTGTCGCTATTTCTCGCGTTTCTCGCAATTTCTCGCGCTTCTACAACACTTTCCTACTGCAGACCTACTATTTTAGCTATTCTAGCTATGCCTTCACGCTCGGAGCTTACGCCTGCTATACATGAGGATCTATGAGCTATATTTAGCGCTCATTGAGGTTATAAACGTATTTATAAGAGATGCCCTTGGATTTCGCTCTTAGGCATCCGCTGGACTATCAAAAAAGAGCACGAAAGACGTGCTAGCGTCTCGAAACCTCGATATAGCCCACTAAAGAAGCTTAATAAGACCGATAAAGTACGTCTTTTAGCTACGACTAAAGAGAATCCTCGACCTACCCACGAAGATCTTCTTACTAAAGTGTCTTATAAAGTCAAAATAAACTCGATTCGCCGACTTCTTAATACCGAAAACCTCCGGAAATAGCGATATAGTTAGAGACTATACTTAACCGAGGAAAATGCTATTAAACGCCTCTAATAGGCTTCTCGATATTAGCACTTTACCCTGGATGTTTAGGCCCGCGTCTTTTAGTCCGATAAATATACGGTTAAGCGAGGAGGTATAAATAGCATCGTGATCCGGGATATATACCTCCGAATCCTACCTATCTTAATGGCCAACGAGGACTACATTTTTTTTAATATAATAACGCGCCAACGTATATAGCGCATATTGTCCGGGATGCTTTGCGATATATAGAGATCGAGGTTATAGAATAGCTCCTACATTCGCCTAATCTAAACCCCAACGAGAACCTATAGGCGTTAATAAAGGCCGAGATCTATAAGCTCCGGCCTAATCTGATTTATATAAAGAATAATGAGCAAACAAAGGCTATTTTAGTGGAGACAGCTTAGCTTCCATGGGATCAATTGAATCTAGATCATTTTAAGCATCTCTCTGAGACGATGCCGCATCGGGTGCAGGCTATTATTGATAGCCAGGGATGGTATACGCAGTATTAATTTTAATGGCATGAAGATTTAAAACCGGCAGAATATTACTAATATAGGTGGGTGTCTAAACTTATGAATAGTCACTGTAAATGGTGATAGTCACTGGATCCTACCCATCCACCCACCGACAATGCCAGCCCAACATCTACACCGAGATGGGATTGCGCAATTCGATCTTAGGGTTTTCTCCTTTCATTCCGTTATTCCACTCCGACACGCCGAAAAAGCTGCCCACTCGGCCCAGTATGAGCTCGGTTATGGTCGGAAATTTCTGGAGCCTCCCGAAACTAGGCCGAGAACCCGTTTGTTTCCCTCGGAAAACCTCATGGCGACAGTGACTATGAAGTCCAAGACTGCAGGAGGTCCTCAAGAGAATGCTACATGTTTGTAGATCTAGATATTCGAGATGCTTTGAAATCGATCCTGATCGGCTAAACTAAGTTCAGCCGACATTCACCATGATTGGCCACTTCGAGCACAACCATTGAGGCGCTTTGGCTCTGGTATGCCGAGTGGAGACTCGAAGGGCGTGCATGTCGCTGCAAGGCGCGCTCCACTTCTTGACACTAGCTTGTTACGTCTTCTCTCCTGGACAGGCGAGGGACATCGCTTAGCCATAATCACGAAAGGCATCTCTGGTGGGAAAAGGTGGGAATACCAAGCCTCAGTCTATGAGCTCTTGGCTTTAGTGGACATCTCCGGACTCTGCACTTGAACTGGTTGAACTGGAGCGGAATGTCAATCCAAGGGCGCGAGGGTCGGCTGCTGGCATCCGTGCAGCCAATCACTTGCATGGCTCTGCACCTGCGATGACTCTGGCTCGGCTTTCCTTATACTGGTTCCTACACGAACTCACTTTTGGGGAGCTACACGTGGACGTCATAGAAGTAAGATATGCCTTTATCTTGTGGCTTGTGACTCATTGTCCGATTTGTAAGACCTAAAAGCTGAGATGTGAAGGTTCACATTGTTTGTTGTATTTCCTATATAAAACGGGGTCCGTCCTCCACATTGTCTCCATCGCGGTTGTCGACGGCTCCACTGTCTACTTTTTCCATTCCCCGTTATTTTTCTACTTATACTCCGAGCCCCAAATCTTGATCTTGTGATTTTCTGATCTTCTGATATTCATTTTCTGCGTCACGTTGCTCCAATAGGACAAAGGTCCTGTTTCCCTGTGACACGGTGACACGATGTCGGCCACTTCGATTATCAGCTCGGGCTCAGAGACCCTGGATGCGTGGACTCGTCGCTCGCCGCCCAAAATCCGAATTGATCTGTCTGGCCAGAAGCCTGGTTTGGTCAATTCATACACGACTGCAGAAAGCATTGATGGCACTGCTACCATCACTGTTGAACAAGACACGCGTTTTGATGGAATCGAAATTATTTTTGAAGGTACATAATGCAAGACCCTACATATCAGCCAAAACTAATGCTGTAACAGGCACGTCACGAACAACAGTAGAGCGTGCATCATGCCCTGGCCGTACAGGATCGCAACAGGTGTTCCTCAAGTTGCGCCAACCAATTGATGAGACTGAATATCCCGCCCCTCGTGTGCTAGAGGCCGGTCGTTCATACCAATATCCCTTCACCTTCGTTGTCCCAGACCACTTGCTACCACAGGTCTGCACGCACGCCAAGAACAATGCCCAAATTGAACGATCCCATACTTTGCTCCCACCGACCTTGGGAGATCCCATGCTCGCCAGCAATGGCAAGACACTACTGGATGATATGGCACCAGACATGGCACAGATTGCTTACATCATTCGCGTATCCGTGCTGAAGAAGCAACAGAATGGAAACGCACTCAAGTCTCTCGGCGCCGTAGCCAAGAAGATCCGTGTCATCCCAACTGTCGACGAGGAGCCTCCCGTAGAGATTCCCCCAAACTCCTCCCTATGCACGCGCAAAGAGAAGAGCGTGAAGCGGGGGACCCTGCGGGGCAAGCTTGGCCGGCTTGTCGCTGCATCATCTCAGCCCAAGCCTATCCAACTGCTTCCTCCAAGCTGCGAGCCGAAGGATACTGTCAGCACCGTGGCCACCGTGAACCTGCGCTTCGATCCTATCGCAGATGAGAAGCCACCCCGCCTGGGTTCGATGACTAGCAAACTCCGCGCAAACACCTTTTTCAGTTCTTCCCCATGGGAAGATTTCCCCAGCTCGACTGGCATGCCCTTTGCCCAAATCGGCCGCGGTCTCTACACCGAGAACGTGCATCTCTCCACCATGTGCGTGGAATCAGCACAGTGGACCAAACAATCAACCAACGACTCCCTCCGCCGTGGCTCCACAGACTCATCCTCTTCAGCAGGCTCGGTCGGTTCAACCGGCCCGTCCTCTGAATTTGCCGGAAACACCTATTACACCGCATCAGTTGTCATCCCAATCACCCTCCCCAAATCCAAGGCTTTCGTCCCAACCTTCCACACTTGTCTAATGTCCCGCACCTACGCCCTGGATCTCTCACTATCGTATCACACTCCCGCGGCAAACGTCATCACACCCACCATCTCCCTGAGCATCCCTGTCCAATTCACCAGCCAAACAAAATACGCCGAGTCTCTCAAATCTTCTCTCGGTGTGACTGTCACACAGGAAGAGCTGGATGAATTCTTCCACCCTCGCAACGTCACCTCTCCTGTCAACTTCACTGATAGCCCTGCCAGGGATGTCGTTGTTGATGTGGATCTCGCCCCACCCGAGTACTCGGAGAGAATTGGTGCTCAGGCGTCGCGGACTGTGCGAGCTGCTACTTAATCTGAGTCGACTCCGATTGTTTGTGAAATGTCAATTGATACCCCTAATACCATTGGCTTATGAAAAGTTTATTTTTATTTTTATTTTATTTTTTGCATGGCGTCTACAGCATTTTGCATTTCTTTCAGATTTTCTATCATTTATATCATTTCTACCATGTTTATCATTTTTGGCTTTTGTTTGAATATACCCATTGTCATTCACCTGTTCAACGTTTGCACAAAAGCATGTTCCTTATGTTGTTTCTTGTACGTATTTTAAATACTTTATCTTTTATTTGTTTGATTCCGCTACATACCTCCTTCCAGTCCGGTTAGTGTATTCTCACTACCGAAGTGAACTTCCAGCTTGAGGTACACACTGGCCTGAACCACACCACAGCCATGTAGGCCCACAAAAGCAATTCATTCGAGCAAAGTATGCAGTATCCTCTTCAGGGATCTATTTCAACATAAGAACCTCATAAATATCTGTTTACTAAACAAAATATCTCCTGAAACATTCCGTGCCATCATGGCACTCAGTTCTCAGGAATCGGTGCATCCGAAGCATCAACACCAGCATTCCACCGATACTTCGAAGCAGGGTGATCCGCACGCGGCCCAGACTGGCCGGGCTCAGAGTACAAATTCTCACGGTATGTTCCCTTGGGCACGGCATAATCGTCCCAGAAGAGACCACGTCGGCGCAACTCAGGAATTAAAAGGTCGATGATGTCCTTGAATGAGCCGGGCTTGACAACATATGCCTTTATAAGTTAGCCACAATACCACCATCTGCCCAGATGACACAGATCTTACCAGGTTGAATCCGTCCACATCGGCTTCTTCCACCCAACGCTCCATGTTATCAGCAACCTGAGCAGCCGTACCAACGGGAGTAGCTCCCAAACCACCAACAGTGATATGTTGTCCAACAGTAGCCTTGGTCCACTTAGCCACCTCAGGAGTAGCCTTCGACCAACCCTCAACAGCAGAGCTATAAACGAATCAGTCTCAGCACACAACAAAAGCACAAACATAGAAAGTAAAAGCAGTGGCAACATACCGAATAGCATTACTCTCAACATGCCTCAACTCCTCATCATCCCCATACTTATCCAAATCAATCCCAGTCCATCCCCCAAACAAAGCCAAAGCCCCATCAATAGACCCCAAACTGCGATAATACTCAAACTTCTCGCGCGCCTCCTCCTCCGTCTTCCCAAGAACAGGACAAAGCAAAGCAAGGAACTTAATACTGCGCGGATCGCGACCAAACTCACTCGCCGCCAACTCCCGAATCTCCTTGACATTCTTCGCTACCACGGAGGGACTATGTCCAGCCACGAAGATAGCTTCAGCATGTTGAGCCGCGAAAGTCTTACCAGCCTTTGAAGTCCCTGCTTGGAGGATGACGGGTGTGCGTTGGGGACTCGGTTGTGTGAGATGTGGTCCCGGGACGTTGAAGTATTTGCCTTCATGGTTGATTTGGCGGACGCCACTTGGGTCGGTGTAGATTCCTCGTTCGCGGTCGCGGATTACTGCGTCTTGGCGCCAGGAGGATTCCCAGAGTTTGTAGGTTACTTTGATGTATTCTTCAGCGAGGGCATAGCGGTCGTCGTGCTGGTGATTTGTAAGTTCGGTTCTGGAGTAGTACAGGTCAGTGGACAACATACATGTGGTTGTTCGGCTTGACCCATGTTACGTGCGGCAGAGTCGAGATATCCAGTGACGACCTGGGAATCGTCAGTATTTCTTCGCGGGATAGTTGCTTGCGCAAACTAGATATATGATCCTCACATTCCATCCCAGACTACCAGATCACATCAGTTAGCGAGACAGCTTTGATATAGTATCAGAATGCACATACCGTCCTTTCGTCAAATGATCCACCGTAGACAAGCGTCGAGCAAGATGATACGGCTGTTCGTAAGTCGTAGTGACTGTAACTCCAAACCCAATATTCTTCGTTACAGCCGCCATAGCCGGAACAACAGCCAATGGCTCATTCACAGGCCACTGTGCACCGGAAGTAGCTGCAGGGTCTAGGTTTCTGGGTCCTTTGTAGACATCGTATCCTCCTGTAAAGCAGTCGTTTAGACTCCAACTTTATGATATACTGGGCACTACCAACCTAGAACATCCGCAATGAAAATGCCGTGGAATTTGGCTGATTCGAGTAACTGTGCAAGCTCAGTCCAGTGCTCTAAATCATTGAAGCGATGCGATTCGTCTTCGGGGTGGCGCCATAGTCCCGGGGATTGATGGCCACTACCTGTATGGATCGTTAGGGGTTGTGTTAATCTTGAGTTCCTTTGGGTTTGGCGTACACATTTCCACGAAGGCATTGAGGATAAGTGACTTGTGAGGTTTCACGTCTGATGCATTTGAAGCCATTTTGTGTTTTCGGTCCGATATTCAAGATTGAGATATTAAAAGAGGCCAGACTATACTCTACAATTCCAACTTCAAATTCAACGAAGTAATGAGGGTCTTTAAGAGAAGAGGGACGTCATATACGTTGCACATGTATACTTCAATATTCTCCATAACATCAAAGTGGGCCGAGATGGCGCGATGGAGATCGGAGGGGCGCGAAGTATACCAACTTCTCTTATTGGCCCCGACTTAACTATACTCAACATCCCCAGACAATCAGTGGCTGTTCCGGTCCCTCTCGCCCGAGAGATTCGGTCTTTGGTGGTGATGTGATTTCATAAAATTTGGAACGTTCCCCTTTCCTTACCATCAGCTCGATGAATATTGGTCCACTGGTCTGTCCGGATAAGCGACTTATTTTTGGGAATTTGTAGAACTAGACAATCTAGACTTGTATTCTACGTAGCTTCGGACATTACCTCTATTTATCTCGCTGTTTTAGTGATATCAAGTACTTGAGCTGCGAGTCAATATATCTAATTAGATCTGCACAAATCTTTATCTTCACGACAACATACGTGTGCTTAAACTCAAATTGTAGTCCTTTAGCGCCAGAACAAAGCACCTAATCGCCAGCATGAATGAAGCCATTGTGGACCCTATCGAAATCACTTCTGACGAAAGGCCATGGATTCTACTGTAACACCCTGTCCATGAGACTGGAGACGTTGCATCAAATGAACACCCTTAAGCATAGATCGGCCCCAGTTCCATGATCTCGGTACCATGTGCTGATCATACGCTGAACCCTGAACTTATATATCACTCCATATCTCGGTGATTTCCTTTGTAAAAATTTATCTTCCAATTTTCCTGAGCTGTGAGCTCTCTATACTGCATAATGTCGAACTTGTACGTTCGCGAGGGCATTTCAAGTGTCCAGCCACCACTATCGCAGGCTGTTGGATATATTGTTGTCGTCGTGATTGGTGTCATCATTGCCCTAGGTAAGTATACCTATCCCTTGATTTTGGGGTCTATGCTAATAGTTGCCAGGCATGATGCTCATCACCAAAGTGTTGAAGAAAACCACCGGAGAAGATAACAAGAAGACTGAAATGTATGAATTCGCCGTTCAAATCCCAACACAAACTGACCCAGAGAACAGGTTCATGACAGCAAATCGCACTGTTCGCACGGGTCTTACTGCGTCAGCCGTGATATCGGTAAATCCCCTCCCAGGTTCGTCGAAGCAATACTAACAAAAGTGGTCAATATAGTCATGGCTCTGGTCAACAGCCTTGCTCGGCTCATCTTTTGTTGGTTATGATTATGGTGTTGCCGGCCCATTCTGGTTTGCTGCTGGTTGCAGTCCGATGATTGTGTTCTTCGCGTTGCTGGGAATCTCTTGTAAACGGAAGATCCCAGAAGCACATACCTCGCTTGAGGTTGTTCGAATTCGATATGGTAAGTGGTCTTCAGGAACCCTCGTTGAAATTGACATTATTTACATTGGCTGGAAATTTAGGACGTGTCGCCCATGTTGTTTTCATGATTTTGTGTTTGGTGAACAATATCTTTGCTTGTGCAAACATGTTGCTTGGTGCTGCTGCTGTAATTACTGCTGTGTAAGGCTTACTGCACTGCCATGGTTGTCATCTCGCTAACTCATGATTTTAGTACCGGAATGCACATTATAGCTGCAACATTCTTGCTGCCAGTCGGAGTGACAGTCTATACATTTGTCGGTGGTATCAAAGCAACGTAAGTGAACTTATCCTCTCAAGCATAGACCTACTAACACCGTCAACAGCTTCTTAACTGATTATTTCCACACAGCAATTATCATGATCATCGCCTGCTACTTTTCGGTGAAGGCCTTTTCTATTGAAGAAGTTGGATCTGTGGGCAACCTATTCGAACTTGTCCAGGCAGCTGCACAACGTCATCCAGTTTCTGGTAATCAGGATGGGACTTATTTGACTATGACATCGAAGGGTGTAAGGTCGAATTCATATACTTTCCCGAATGCATCCTCACTAACTATCTACTAGGCAATTCTATTTGGAATCCTCCACACCCTTGGCAACTTCGGTCTAGTCATTGTGAGCAGTATATGCTTCCTACTCTCAACATTTCTAACTTTCTCTAGATGGATACGAGTTATTTTATCAAAGCTTTCTCCGCCTCACCTGCAGCAGTAGTCCCCGGCTATACCATTGGTGGAATTGCCTACTTCGCCATTCCATGGGGCCTCGGAACAGTGATGAGCTCCATTGCCTTGGGGCTCGAGAACCAACCCAATTTCCCAACCTTCCCTCGGGTAAGCAGTTCACCCCATACAAAATCAAGCAAAAAACATCTAACCACGCCCACAATCTATAGAGAATGACCACATCAGAAGTCAGCGGCGGCCTAGTTCTCCCCTATGCAGCAATCACAATGGCAGGCAAAGGTGGCGCAGCAGCAGTGCTCCTCATGACATTCATGGCATGCACATCAACACTCTCAGCCCAAGTAATCGCCGTTAGCTCAATTCTCAGCTTCGACGTATATCGCGAGTATTTCAAGAGAAAGGCGACAGACCGCGACCTGATCCGATCCAGCCATTTTGGCGTCATTTTCTTTGCTGCTTTCTCTGCTGGCTTTAGTACCATGCTCCACTACGTGGGCATAGATTTAGGCTGGACACTATACATGCTCGGTATGTCGATCCCACTATATTTTTCTGACACACAAACCACACAAACAACACTAACAACTCCCTCCCACAGGCGTTGTAACCTGCCCCGGAATCTTCCCAATGATATTCACAATACTCTGGAAACGTCAAAGCAAAGCAGCAGCCATACTGTCCCCAGTCCTCGGACTGGCAACAGGACTAGCAGTCTGGCTTGGAACAACCTCACACTTCGGCGGCGAAGTATCTGTCGCATCAACAGGCGAAGTCCTCCCCTGTCTCTACGGCACGGTGGCGTCATGCCTGTCCCCAATCATATACTCCGTCCTGATCACGCTTGTCAGACCGCAGAATTATAACTGGGATGATTTCAAGAAGGAGAAACTCGCGCTTGAGAAGGTCGAGAGTGATTTGACAACTGTGCATCACGACCATGTTCCGCAAGCTGGGAATGAGAGTCTTGAGGATGGAGGTCATGGGCTTGAGAGCAAGGAATTGAAGCGATGGGGCCGCATTGCTGCTGTTTGGGCTGCGGCGACGTTTTTGGGTCATTGGGTTATTTGGCCATTGCCAATGTTCGGATCAGGGTATATTTTCGGGAAAAGGGTATGTCTCATTAACAATGCTGTACTTTTTGCATTCGCTGATGACTGTGCAGTTTTATACGGCCTGGGTTGTTGTTGGCATTATCTGGCTCTGGCTTAGTATGCTCGTCGCTATTTTCTATCCCATTTTTGATGGTGGTATTCAGCAGATTCGCGATGTCTATCGTGGATTGAGAGGACGAGATAATATCGCTGGTACTGTCCCTAGTCAAGAGAAGGGTGGAACCAGTGCTTCACCTTCTGCTGGGTCTATCAGCGATGCTACACGCACCGGGGATGTTCAAGAAATCAAGGATTGATCTTGCAAATGGTCGATGTGGAATCGCTTAGCGGAGAAAGATTATTAATTGCTTTGATGTTTGTCGAGTTCTACAATGTCTTGGTTTAGATTTCAATGACGTTACATGTACTTATTCTAATCTTATATGTTACGATTGAAGATTCACTTGGCAAAACACGTACTACAGATATCCAGGAGACTTCTTACAAGATTGGAAAATCTTTCTTATTCAGTAAACTCATCCTGTGCGACTAGATACAAAAGCTAGGAGCAGATCCCATCAACACCATCAAGGTGATCTAGACAGCCCGCACAATGTAAAGAGTCCCAAATTCCCACTCCATGTGTTAGCGAATGTATGTCCAGTGGACTAAAATATCAACAAAGAAGATAGAAATAAATCAGAAGCCAGCCTTGAGGTTGTCGTACTTGGAGGCAGGGTAGCTCAGCTGATTCTCGCTCTTGTCCAGAGCGCCAGTGCCTCCAAGGTTATTCACAACCTAGAAAAGTCAAAGTCAGTAAGATGATCAAATGTGGAATATTAATGAAACATACCGTGGTGACCAAACTGTCATCACCTGTCTTGTCACCGCTAAGCTCCCACCACATACCACCACCAAGGCCCTTCGACTTAATGTACTCACCCTTCTGGCGCGCAATATCAGGGGTGTCATAGCTGATGAATAAGCGCGAGCCTGGGTTGTAGCAGTAGCTAGCACCTTCCTGGTTCAGATTTGTGACCGCGCAGCCGGACTGGGGCAGAGCCTTGTAGTCCCACACACCGTCCTCCCAGCTACCAGCACCGACACCGCTGTAAGATTGGCCAGGACCGTTGGTGTTGGTAAATGACCGGCCGTATAGAGGCATACCTAGGACAATCTTGCGAGAGGCCACTCCGTGCGAGGTGTAGTAGTCGATCGCTTGGTCCGTGTTAAAGGGAGTGCTGGCTGGGTTGCTGTTAGATGCGTGGAGGTTGGCGTCGTGGCCGGCAACGGTATCCCAGCTTCCGGAGTAGTCGTAGGCCATCAAGTTCCAGAAGTCAAGGTACTGATCCATTTGTGAAAGATGCATTTTCTGGTAGTTAACAGGGCCTAGGATTTGGGTTAGCTTTATCAAGATATCTAGGAATGACACGTACCGGCAGGGGATGCAGTGGTGAGTAAGAAATGGTAGCCTCCTGCGTTGGCTGAGCTGTACGAATCTAAGGCCTAAGAGAATCCACAGTTAGTAGAGGTATCAATAAGAGGAGCATAAACTTACCCCACGAAGACGGCGGAGGGTATCAACAAATTGGTCCGCCTCATTATCATTGGCAGGGTACTACTAATATCAGCATTAAACACCGTCAAAAAGATAGAAAACTCACCTCGAAATCAACATCAATACCGTCAAAGCCCAAGTTCTTCAGCAGCTCGACAGAACTGTCAGCAAACTTCTGGCGTCCAGCCTCAGTCGCAAAGGCAGTTCTAAGGTTGGGAGAATAGGTCCAGCCTCCAATCGACAGAAGAACCTTGAGGTTGCGGTTTTTCTTCTTAAGTAGGAAAAGCTGCTTGACACAGCCATAGACATTGTTTCCGGAATCAGCCCAGGAATCAGTGGGGTAGTGCTTGTCAGTGTCCGACCAAGTGTCCGACAGGACCACCTCCCCAGAGGCTTGGGCATTGGCGAAGGAGTAGAGAATATGGGTCAGTCTCTCGGCAGGAATATCCTGAGGCTGGAAGTTGCGAGCGTAAATGCCCTGATAGTGTTTGGTTAGTTACTCTTATCGAGCATATAAGGATGAGACGCATACCCAGTTCACAAAGTAGGCCACGGAGTGATATCCGTTAACATCGCGAGCAGCAATGTCAGTTGCATTGGTCTTGGTCAGGGAAGGGATGTAGGCAGCGTTGGCCAGCCATGCTAGGCCTAACAAAAAAGGAAGGACAAATTGCATATTGAAGGAGTGTCAAGGTTGTAGCCGATGAAAAGGCTCGGTCCGGCGAGCGTCAGGAAGAGAGAGTTGTCGGGGATGAAGTCGAGGAAGGGGAAAATGAGACTATTTGTACTCGAGGTCGACAATTAATTCAACTGATCATTGTGACATACAATGAGCATTATCAACCCCTCAATACAGATCTCAGACGAGACGCTGCAGCGTAACTACAATAGACCAATAACCTCACTACGCCATTCATCGGGCCAATAGATCACAATGCATCTTCCGTCACATTCTTTAGTCTAGTCCACATGGACCGGATGCCTCCCTCGGAGTATCAGTGGGAATGAGGAGGCGCCACTTACATGCCTCCAACTCCGAACAACTGCATGGTAGTCGAGATCGCTAACAGCATGGCCATGTGTGTAACATTCTGAAATCAAGGTTTGATCTGTTATGCCGACTCAAATCTCTGCCCGCGTGGAGGGTGAAGAAATCCCAGCCAATCGGCCAGGGGCCTATCTGGGGATGGGTGACATTGTCATCTGCGAGTCTCGGCAGTAGCTCGGGACATGCCTGTTCATGCCGGGATTAGATGGTGCAGCAACATTCTGCTATCAGTTTTGGAGTGGGATGTAACTGAGAGGTAGTATTCAAAGCCAAATAGATTGATGCCAGTGAGTTAGCGCTTAGGGGTCTAGGGGGCTAAACCAAATCCACTAAATTAGGGGGGACAGGTACAAGTTTCATGCAGGAACCAGGTCCGCGAGATAAGCCAATGTAACTCTCAAACCATGCGACCGGGACATGTGCCATGGGGTGAAGGGGTGAAGATACAAAATGAACCTGGTGATCCAGGGTGCTCACGTGCCCTATAGTTGCGATGTATGTATCTCAGTACTTATAAATTCTTTGAATGTGACTTGAGGCAGAAAATGGTAAGAGATCTTCACTTTACAGTGAACTAGCTCGATATAACTAACCAGGATGCAAATCTAACTGTCTTTGCCCTATACAACTTCGACGATGCTACATTCGGATGTACAGTACACCCCGACAAAAGACCGATACCTCATATCCACCCGGATGAGGCTCCAAGAGGAAAAAGCTCCGACCAAAAATGTTCAGGCATTGGTCTCAAGCACATCCCCAACCATAGCTATTCCCAGTCTGGAGCGATCCAAGAACTTCCCTTCGTCAGCAGCGATCTGCGCGGCAGCATCCGCCGCCGTAACCCTAGCATGGAAAGCTCCAAAAGCAGCCTGATCAGGGAAAGTAAGTTCAGCATAGGCATCGAAGTCGAAGTCTGACTGCTGCCCGCTGAGGACAGTGGCCGGGGTGAGGGCGTTCCGTGTGGTGGCGTCGTCAGGAGGGGTTGTGACTGTAGTGCGGGCGATGTAGCTTCGTTTGTGTGAAGACGGGAAACTGTCTCCCGCTAGTTTCTTGACTAGATCCACGTGTGCTTCATAGTGTTTTTTGAAGTCTTCCGGTGACAAGCCGGGCTTGCGATAGGCGTAGATGATGGCTGTGACGGGCATTGTTTTGATTGGAGGTGATGTCAATTCAAAGTTGGTATTGCAGATCGGACTGGTTGTGTTTGCGATGTGAATTTTGTATAGCTGACAGCTATGAAAATGTGAACAGAGCCAAATTATTTCTCGGGGGGATTTGTCTCTTTTTTAGAATTGGCCCCCTGTGTAAGAAGTCGCGAAAGAACGGGGGCCGAACTGGTGATTTGTGGAATCCTTTGGCAGATTTCTGCCTATCACTCCAATAGATTTTGTGGCTCGGGTCTTGTGAAATTCTACCTACAAATCAAAAGAAGGCATGGGAACGGAGAGACTCGAGCTGTAACAAATGTTGCAATGACTTGGTTAATGCTAACTTAAAGTAATGGGCCTCAATACAAAAAAAGAAGATCGATATGGGTATTAAGAGAGGAGCGCATACTCAATATCACGAATGGATTAGACGTGACCGGATGCAAGTATCAAATCCAAGTGGCGGACAAAGGCGCATCCTATTCCAGCCACGGCACCTAAACTTGTTAGCAAATATAACCGGCAAAGGGAGAGAAATGTGTGTTCAAACATCAACAGTCGGTGCCTCCCATGCCCTCTGCTTTAAGGATTTCAATCCCAGGTCTTGCTTGAGTTTGACAAGGATTCTAAGGTCTTTGATCACCTTGTCTCGAAGCTGAAGATGTTGCAGGTTGGGAAAAAGCTCCTATAAACGGCTGGTTAGCGTAACAAAGAAATAGGTCAAACAGATTCACAAACTCCAATCATCTTGAAGAGTCCTTTCCACATCGCTACCGCCTTGTCATTGTCTTGATTGTAATAACCTTCAACGGACCCAATAAACAAGTGTTTGACAGCAGGACATACGAGTTGAGGGATCAAAATGGCACTATGCGCGGGCGTATGAACCAACAGTGTTAGAGACTGGAGATTGCGTAAATTGACTCCGTCAAAAGACTTGACCTTGTTGACACGGACAACAGTTTGTATGGTTGCCGTGAGTATCATATCGGCATACACCTGGCGACGATGTACAGGGACGTAATCAAAAATTGGAGCCAGCCCATGGCTCGTGTGTGCAGTGGGTTCAATCCAGATAAGACGCATCGCCTCAGGGTACCAGCTGCTGTTGACTACCGCGCAGTCAAGCAAGGTCAATCTCTTTCGTTTGTGTTTCAGTCCCCTTCGTATGTGCCATGCAAAACGGTGGTGACCCGACAAGAACGAAAAGATGATGCAGAGAATCTCGGCAGTAGCAAGTGCACGCTGTCTGGCGAGAAGGTTGTTTGCTCGCTTCCATCTTGGATAGGAGGACCTCTTCATTTGATCTTGGCTTCGCTAGGTGGAGGTTGAGTGAGGAGGCAAGAGATGCCAAGGTCGAGTTCGATGGATCGGACGGAATGGGGAACGAAGGCGCTGGGTTGTAAGAGAGATGGGTGACAGGGAGAAAATGAACGATCAAAACAACAGCTCCAAAATACAAGGCAGGAACTAAGCTTGCCTGATAGTCTGCCTGAGCAGTGTCTAGCCCAACTACAGCTATACAGCATCAACAGTGAAGCCTCCTAAATCTTTGGACGGCCAGTCAGAATACTGCTAGTGGAGATGCTCCTATTATTTATAGCACTCCACGACGAAGCATGTGGTGAAAGAGGTGAAGAGTAGTTCGGAAACAATGCGGGAAACGGTATAGTCGTTTCAAGCGCTCATGGATTTTGTGTGAAGACCCCTTGATGTCTAAGAAGGATCTCGACGCGTAAACATCCAGCTGGGCCAGTCAGAATGGAGTTACAACAAGAAGCAATAATACAATATTGAAACAATCAATTTTTACACAGACCATCCGTAGATCGCTGCCTGCAAGCCCTCCACGGGCTTCATCTATGGACGCCAAGAAATGCGAATTTTATACACAATCATAACACTACCCCTTAAGTCAACATATCATCAAGGCGCTCACCAAGCACCTTCTCAATCTGCTTAACCCATCTCCGGACTTCTCTCTCGACATTCTCATCCTCATCCTCCATCAACTCACTGATGTAAGGCAGCATCTCGGGAAGAAGTGCAAGCCACTCCTCGCCCAATTGCTCGGTAAGAGCCTGTTCAGTCTTAAGGGCTGCGAGGCGGGTGTGTGGGTTGTCACCACCAGCGGAGCGGGCGTTGGGAGCAGATGAGGGACGGAGGTACTTCATCAGGGCGGAGTTGAGCTCCTTGTGGTTATCCGTAGAGTCGGCGGCGATGGCAAGCTCTGTGATTGTAGGAACAACATCGGCGATGACCATGTTTGAGGTGGTTGTGCTGGTTGCGTGGCCGAGTTGGGCGATCAGAGGGCCAGAAATGCTGGCGAGGTGAGAGGGGCTTTGCCAGAATTCTGTAGCGATTGTTAGCGGTATTCATGTAAACTGGGAACGCATGTATAACCCACCATCCTGATCATGCTCGAAAGCGTTGCGGAGCATGCGAAGAGCTGCCAACCAAAGAGACCTGTGGGTCTTGGATGGACCGACGGTGCTGAGAACTTGAACCACGTTCTCCATAATGTAGCTGGAGTATCCAGTGACAATTGACTGGAGAGTACCGAAGAAGACCTCGAGGAACTTGTAGAAGGTCGTAAGACGCGACACCTGAGCTTGCTCATCCTTCTTGGGAGCGCCAGTGGTGGCCCACTCAACGAACTTGAGGAAGATGGGGCGGAAGGTGCTGTCATTTAGCTTGTAAATCATCTTAATGGTAACATCATTAACCGCAGTCTCAGCCTCGTCAATATCGGAGGCTTCGAAGATCGCAGCGTCACCAAGAGCGAATTGCTCACGGCGCAGGTCAAAGGCCTTGAAGATGATCTTTGTGAGAACAGCAATGTTCTTGGCAATGGTCGACTTGGGGTGCTTCTCAACAGCCAATGTAACAACTTGCAGGATCTCATTGACGGCGGCGGGACCGGCCTCAACGGCGTTCTGCCAGTTACGATCGACAGCGCCAAGAGTAGCACTGACATCGACCTTGCGAGCCATCAACCGCAGAGCCTCTTGACGGCTGTCATCACTGCCCTCGTCAATATCCGCGTTGGCAGACTTGAAAGACAGCAGGAGAACCTTGTCCAAATGAGCAGCTGAGATCATGAATGGAAGGTGGACGAAGAGGGCGGAGAAGAGAGTGTAGACGGCATCGTGAAGTCGCGAGTTCTCCTTCTCGGGGACCAAGCTCAACTCGAGCAGCTCCAAAGAGCGCTTCAGTGTATCGGGAAGCGCAGGAATCAAAGACTGACCCAGTACCTCAGCCATAGAGGCAAGACACAAGATACCCATGTAGCGAATACGGTCGTCAGTCTGGCCAATACATGATTCGCTGGCAACAACTTGAGCAGCAGGGATGATCTTGGAGGGGTCCTTGCGGCCGTACTTGTCGGTGATACGATCGATGCAGGAAACGGCAGCATGCTTAAGAAGCGTATCCGGAGACGACTCGACAATACCAACCAGGTTGGGAATGAAGTCAAGAACACGGATCTGCGACAGGTTGTCACGCTCTGGGGTCTGGCGGAGACGGGTCTCGAGCAGACGAAGAACCTTGCGTCGGAGCTCATCGTTGGGACCCTGGAGCAGAACTTCAATAGTATCCAAGAAGTCAACAAGAGAGAGGGTGCTGAACAAGGAGCCGAGCACCTCGCCACAAGCCTGACTGACGGGCTTCATGTTCTGCACAGCCTCGCCGATGCCCAGGACCTGTTCAAGAACACGGGAGAAGCATGCACGGGACAGATCGGCGTCCTGGCCATCCGACTCGAAGGCTGTTTCAAGCTTGGATTTGAGAGTTGAGTGCTTCAGAAGGTGAGCGAGGTCGCGAAGAAGATCAACAGAGACCTTATGGGGGTCACGTCCATCCTCGCTGCCAATGCCCAGAAGAACCTGAGAAATGCCTGGCTTGGTCTTGAAGGAATCGGTAACAAGGTTGAGGTACTTGCTGTAAGTGGTCAATTCCACAACAGGAGAAGCATCCGACACCAGGCCGGTCATCAAAGTCAGAACGTCCTTGTCGGTGGAGTATCGATTGGCAAGCATGGCCAGAACAGCGAACAGGAAATCCTGTGTTCCAAGCTTGGTGATAAGAGCATGGAAGAGCCTGAGACGGCGGTGCGAGGGAATGTGCTCAAAGGCAGCAGTAAAGCTAAGCAGGAGCTCCGAAGTTCCGGAAACGACATCCCGCTTCTGACTACGCAGAGATTGGATGAGAGCAGGGACAACTTGGTCAATGGTCTGATCAATGACCGAAACGGAGTAGTCATCATCCTTGCGGAGAACGCTAGTGCCCATAAACGTGAAGATGGGCATCACACTGTGGAGGACCAATTCAGGAGCAATGACGGACAGGCTGCCCACGAGAAGGAGAGCCACGTTCTGAACCTGCGGGCTATCGGTCGTACGCACACAATCCACGACCAGATCGGCTCGGATAACAGAGGTGTCGAACTGCGGCTTGACAGATCCCTTAGACTTGTTCACGATGGCCAGGAGACTTCCCAGTGTCAAGCTGAGGAGGTAGCTCATACCACTCTGGATCTGAGACTTGAAATGATGGAGAGCAGCAAGTGTCTGGAAGAGGCCATCAACCAGCTCAGGGTGGGTTTCAGGGGAAGAGCTGTCCACGACTTCCAAGATGAAAGTCATCTTGTCCATCAATTTGCTAAGCTCCGCCTCGTCTTTGACCGTCATGGCGATCATGTTGTTCTGGCTGGTGCGTCGTCGCTTTGGTGCGGGGCCAATAGACTCCACATCAGTAAGAGACTCGGGGATCTTCTGGACGAATTGCTCAAGAACAGCACCAGGGAGCTCCACGCTGCGAAGAATGTCGCGGCAGTTGTTTGTGAGAGTAGAGTTGTTGGATGATTGCCCAAGAGAGTTGTCGAGCAACTTCTCGGATGCGGAGAGCTGGCGGTCTTCGGGGATCTTAGCCCAGAGGTGCTTGATTTGGGCAAAGCACGCTGCCACAAAGGCTGGGCGCAAGGAGTCGGAACCAGAGCTGGCGTTGAAGAGGAGAATATCGACGGCATCCTGTGCCCTTGGGGTAACAATAGCAGCGACCAGCTGTTCTGTCTCGGGTACGGAGATATGTTCCTTGCCGCAAATATCTTCCACCTCCTTCACACTGAAACGACGCCATTCCTCAAGCACGGGAAGAAGTTCCTGTGTAAGAGTGGCAGTGGAGACCTTCTCCACGCTGTTGATGAGCTTTAGCAAGCCGAACTTGGGCGCGAACACAGGCAATCTAACGACGTGAGAGCACATAAAAGTGAAGAAGCTGATGCGCAGAGACTTCTTCAGTTCGGATGCCCCTGAAGCTTCAGACAGAACATTGCCACGAAGTGTAGCCTCGACCACCCTGGAAACATGATTCGAATCAAGGATAGACTCCTCCAGCCCGGGGAGCAAGGCACGCTCCAAGACCTTTTGGGAGTCCTTGGCAGAAAGCCATGCAATGCCCGAAGATTGCTTACCTTGACCGTAGATCGTGTCGTGAGCCCACGGTTTGGAGTTATCACTAGCCTTCAAGTTCTTCTTGTACAAAGAACCGATGATAGCCAAGACGCCGGAAGTCTCGCGGCGAATGCGTTCGGAAGTATCCGAAAGGGCAACAAAGAGGAATGGCAGAAGTGCCTGGGGGTCGAAGTCCACGGGAGCGGACGTGAGGACAGAGGAGACGACGTTCAAAGCACCGATCTTTGTGCCAATTGGGTAGTGACCGGCGACAACTCTGATGAAGAAAGATAGGAATTGAGGAGCCTTGGTCGCCTGAGACTTGCCCAAGATCGGCAAGTTCGTAAAAAGCTCAACCTTTTCTTCCGACTCAACAGCCAAAGCGAAGACTCGTACAAGGTTATCAAATTCAATGATAGATTGCTTGCAAAGGAATGAAGACGGGTACAAGGGCTCTCGAGTCAAAGACTCTAGAGCTGGAGTAAAGGCATCCACATCGGGTTGCTCATCTGCATCCGCCATCTCCACATCTTCAATAGCTGGCGCCGCAACAGACGCTTCTACAACGGTTTGCAAGTTGTGCTCCAGTGCAGGAATGTTGAACGAGGAAGAAGTCAAAGTCTTCTGGAAGATAGGCCGGAGGGCTGCAGAGTGGTTAAATGCTTGGACCAACTCAGCAAGTTGTGTTTGCGCATCCATGGACATCCCGCGGGTCTCATCGGAGCTAGAGGCAGCTTCGAGAACCATGCTCATAGCCTTGCCGATCTCATTCTCGCCGAGCATGTTACGCTCGAAGATAGAGGACAAGAGCAAAAGGTGAGCATTATCTTGCTTGTCAAGATCATTCAAGCAGCCGGCGACGATGCCAAGCAAGAAGTTGGATGTTGGGCATTGGGTGGCTACTTCAGAAAGCTGGCTCATGGGATTCTCGAGGCGCAGCATACTCTTGAACACCTTCTTTGAGATACCAACAGTTGCCTTTTGTTGCGCTAGGAAAGAAAGACAGATGAGACCAGAGTTCTTGGTGTCCTCAGTCCAGGAAGCAACAATGCTTTCCATCAGACCATCAATCACCTGGTTGGAAAGCAAGGCCTTTTGTGCTAGAACCACACAAATCATATAGCAACCGACAATCAACTCTGACACTTTCTTCATAGTGAAGGCAGTGCTGAGTACTGGAAGGACTCGCAAAAGGATGTCTTCATGCTTTTGCTGCTCAGTTTCTCTCCTGCCTGAACGAGAGGCATCTAACATTGCTGAAACCGCTTCTGTAACGACTCCAGCCCAGAAAGCGAGCAATGCATGGCTCTGCGCCTGCTGCTGACACACTTTCAAAACGTAATTGTTTAATGCGGAAAAGAAAGCCTTATTGGTAGCCGCGCTATGAACCAGCGGGTGCCTTGGCGGGTTGATGAGACTATTCTTGTATGGGTTGAGGACTTTGAATGTCGGCGTAAGGTCGTCCGGAAGGATCGATAGAAGGTTCAAGAAGAGAGGTGTCGTATGGTATGGCAAAAACGTCAACAATACGGCATGCGTATTGTGCTCATGAATCCTGCGATGATCTGTCAGTTACCATGTTGCACGACCGTGGCCTTCCAACGTTGCCCCTGCTCACCTGAACCGACGCACTAGCCAATCCACGGCCTTTACTGCGGGGCTTAACTGCAGTCTTCCGCCAACCAAAGCGAGAAAAGCTTCAAGCACAGTGTCCAGCTCCTGGTTCTGAGAGACGTTCATCTGACTGCGATCCTCCGCCTTGCTCTGCTCACTGAAGATTGTGCGCTCAAACTCCGTGAATCGTGGGTCCAGCGAGCACAATTCTTGGAAGCCGTCATAACAAATATCATAGATTGTATCGAAGTCTTGAGATCCGGCGACCTTCCGGTCGAAAATCAGGGATTGTGAGTGTGATATCCTTTGCGCCTTCAGGTCAAGCTCGTGAGACGACTTCGTCGCAATCCGCGACAGCTGGGCGGCAAGAGAGGACGCCATTGCGGTCTCTTTTTTGTCGTTGCTTTGCGGCGGGTTTTGGGCGTTTTTGAAGTCTTGTTTTATGTCTGGTTGCTTACACAAAACAGCAGGGACCCATTCCCCTTGTCAATTGTCTTGTCGCCTTCCTGTCCTTTGAAAGACAGCGGGTCGAGTGAGGTAAGTCTGAGCTGTGTTTAACGGCAAAGTCAAGCGGCCTGGAGCAAACGGTTGACTTTTTTTCTGCCGCCCAGCCCGACCGCCCACCGGCACTACGTTTCTCCGGGTTATCAGCTCCGGCCGCTGCGCGATAAGAAGATCGAGTTGACCACCATGAGCTCGCAGGTAAGTCCATTCTCATTTCGACCTGTGTCCCTACTGATCTTTTATGAAGGACAATGTCCCGCGCTTCTCCAGCTTCCGACCCCCACCTCCACCTCCTCCGGAGGCCCCCACTGGTAAGGAACACCGCCGTCGCCATCGCCAGAGCGTAGCCCAGACTGGGTCTCCGCGGTCTCAGCCCATCCGCCGAGATGATCGTCCTTCAGAGACAGTTAAAGATGTTGGGGTAGAGAAGCTTGATGAAAAAGTCGGCTTCGTTGTCGATACGCGAGGCGATCGACAAAATCTCATCTACGGCACGACATATCGTTATGACGTCCCCAATTATCGTCGCATTGGTAGCGGGCTCGTGATGGGTGCTCCGGGCAAACGTATCGACATTTCAACCCGAGACAGCGACACTTTAATTCTGCGTGCCGACTCTGGCGTGTCCGCTCCCAAGCTCCTCTCCTCCGCCAAGCTGCCACCCTTGTCTCCCGCTCTCCCTATCCGCGCCCGGTCCGACAAGCCATCTGGTACCGAAGATCAAAGCGACTTCATCTCACTCGAGCTCTCACCTAAGCAACCATCCGCAACTGAGATCGATGTCACTGATGAGAGTCGGTCTTACCGCTCCATCCTCGGTCCCAGCAAATCTGAAGAAGCCACCACCAAGGACTACAATGGCGATAAGCTTACTCGAGTCGCTATCGAGCAGAAAATTCTGAACCGCAATGCTGAGCTGAGTCGCCAGACGGAGCTAGACCCAGAGAATGTCACTGCCTGGCTTCATCTTGCTGAGCACCAAGAGCGCGTTATTCTTCCCGCAAGATACAACGATCGGCCCTTCAACTATGCAGAGACGAAGCTTGTGGCAGAGGCTAAACTCTCCGTGTATGAACGGGCATTAAAGGTGAACGGTGAGAACCCTCAGCGCGATCACCTTCTGCTCGGCCGCATGGAAGAGGGCGCGAAGGTCTGGGACTCGAAAAAGCTCTCCAGAGAATGGGAAGAAATTTTATGCTATAACTCCGAGTTCATTAGCCTATGGGTCGAGTATCTGGCTTTCTGTCAGACGGACTTCGAAAATTTCGACTTCGATCAATGTTTCACCTCTTACGTGTACTGCCTGAGACTCCATTCGAACGTTGGGTTCGGTTCGCGCAACAGTCACATCAGGACTTATTTACTCCTGCGCCTGACGCTTTTCCTCCGAGAAGCGGGCTTCATGGAACTAGCCGTCGGTTTGTGGCAAGCCGTGCTTGAGTTTACGTACTTCCGACCCTCTCATCTTTCTGACAAAGCAAAAGCTTTAGAAGAGTTCCAAGCTTTCTGGGAATCTGATATTCCACGTATTGGAGAGCCAAATGCCAAGGGTTGGAAAAATGGAAATTCCTCTACCACCGTTTTTGACGATTCGATTTACGAATACGAAGCTACCCTGCCAAACTTGTTTCCAACCTGGGCATTTGCAGAGAGGGAATACGCCACGAAAAGTCGCATGCCTGCACGCAGTCTGGATTTATCCAAAGAGGATGAAGCTTTCCGAGTGGTCCTTGCCGAAGACTGCAAACAGATACTGCCGTACTTCTGGGATTTCAAAGATAATATGGATGAGCTTATTGATGGATTCATCTGTTTCTGTCATTTGCCTCATCTGACTGTCCCTGAAAATATGCAAACCACACGACTGTGGAGCGGCGACAATTTTCTGCGAAATGAATACATGGACAATTCACGAAACACACTCGACGACTGGATTACTCCTTCGAAAAATGCTGAAACCGCAGCAATTGCGCCTTTCGCATTCCCACATCACAATTTCATTCACACTACAGAGACGCTGTTTGCCGATCCGAAATTGTGGTTTTCGGCACTGGAGAAATGGGGCGTGACCACCTCCAGCAACACCTCAGTGATTGATCCTGAATTTGTACAATCGACTCTCCATACTCTTGTCCATGCGTTTCCGGGTGACGATCAATTGGCCGAATATGCGATTGCTGTGACTTTTGCATGTGACAAAACCCTGGGCAAAAAATATGGCAAACAAGTGTTGAAACAGCGATCATCTAACTTGAGATTATATAATGCTGTCGCGCTAATGCATTGGCGGACGGGCCATCGTGATGTTGCTCATAGTATCTGGTCAACTGCTTTGTCGATGAGCCAGACTTCTGAGGACGAACATATCAGCTCCGTCCTTCTGTGGAACTCCTGGATATGGGAGATGCTGCATGCTCGGGAGATGTTCCGAGTCACATATCTGTTGCAAGCTATACCTTACGAAAAGGTGCATATGCTGTCGTACGAAACCGCCGATGAAAGGGATCTCAATCCGACCAAGTTCCTTCGAACCCAGCAGGTAAGTGCCTACTGATTAATATTTCGCATCCACGCTAATCGTTTTTAGTCCTTGCTCGCGGGCCAAGACCGTGCTTTTGCATACAGAAAACCTCAAGCATTTGTGGCCTACACTGATTGTCTTGCTATCCTCCGTTTCGTTGCAGGCCACCCACTTAAGCAAGTTCTTGAAGTCTATGAAGATGCGGTTTCTTATTTTGTAACGTTATCCCAAAGCGAAGAGACCACAAAAGTTTTCGCCGCGGAGCTGCTTCACCAAGCTCGCGCCAGAATCATTTACTACTATGTGGAGAATCGAACCGGGCAATTCAGACCTGCTGAGGTCCGTGAGAAACTTCTCAGCAGCCTGCAGGTCTGGCCTCACAACACCATGTTCTTGTCGTTGTTCAAATGGAATGACGCTCGCTTACGTCTCATGGATCGCACTCGGGACATCTTCGATATTACCAGTCTAGCGGAGGGCAGGGCCTCCCAGGAGATCAGTGGACATGTTCACCGTGTCCCAATCACAACTCACCTATTGAGTATTTACACCGAACTCGGTCGTCCTCTCGTTTTCGGCTCAACTGCCCATTCTATTCGTGCGGCCTTCGAAAGAGCAATTGGTGACAAATTCATCCCAATGGGCAAAACACCTCTGAAACGGGGCCCTTACGATCTCTCCAGCTCCAGTCGTGCTCAAAACAACCTTACCATCTGGAAGCTTTACATATTCTTCGAACTGTACACCGAGCACAATATTCCTCGTGCCCGGGATATCTTCCTGCGCGCCTTCCGAGCGTGTCCCTGGTCCAAGGAGCTTATTATGATTGCATTCGAGCACCTGCGTGCCGACCTTACCAGCCACCTTCCCCTGTGTCAGATCAATACAAAGAACGAGTCCAATCCGCCAGGTTTCGACACTGCCGAGCTCAAGGCCTTTTACACAGATGCTCATCTGCGAGGGATCAGAATTCACCACAATATCAGCGGCTACTTCTACCGCGAGGGTGAAGAAGACGGTATTGACCAGGATGACCAAGGTGCCGGGACCTTCGATGCTGACAACGACCAGCCGCCAAAGAAGATCCGTCGACGCATGAGTCACTCAGGCACTTTCCAACATCTTCCTACTGTTGTGGAAGAGGATGTTGTTATGATGGAGACCTCTTAGGTATCTCCTTTGCTGTTTATACGCCTACGGTGGAAATGAAGGAAAGTCAATGGATAGAAGGCAAATCTGAAAATTCTGCACATGTATGTAAGAGTTCCAAGGAATACATTAATGCAATCCACCGAGGTTATGGTTGTTCTGTATTGTGACACCGTTCCTAATGTCTGTCTGCTCCAGCATCTTTGCCTTTTCTAGCGCTATGAACACTGAACAGCCCGGCTGCTCTAGTAAGCATAGATCAAGGTATGTTCTGTTGAACAAGTTACGGGTAGGGCTTTCGTTTGTAGTAATCACCAATGGTATTGATCTTCCAGTGGATGGTTTCAAACATCCATCAGAGACCAGATATTTATTACTCCAGCGAAGGGATTATCAGGTCTATTGACACATATTCCTACACTTCCTCAATCCCGTCCTTGCTTAACCACACATCAAGACTGTCTGGTCTGTCCGATCCATATCCGGTGAGCAAACAGCATGATACCCCTGTCCAATATAGCTCCAACGCAAAACGGGTCACCAGAAGCCCATTGAAAAACAGTAAAGGGAAATTCGTGAGTCATGTCAATCGTATACTGAAAAAAGGAAAAGGCAAAGAGTACCAAAAACACAACTAGAAGTGCTCTTTCCAGAATTTGAACTTGACGTCCTTTGTCGATGAAGACTTGGCAGCATCACTAATCTGCCTGGCAGCAGTATTAGGACCACAGAAGTACACTCCGATCTCTGTGGTGGAAGCACTTTGCAAACCGGTCATGTAAGACTGATCCAGCAAGCCAAGCCGCATAGCCGTGAACAGGCGTTTGAAATCCGGACGGCCGAAGTTGGTCCGACTCCGAAGTTCAGTGAGAGGGTCAAGTGCCTGGCCAACGGAGTTGAGGTAGATATTTGCAGCGGTATCAGCATCTAGACGCTGTGTAAGGTATGTGTGGATACGCAAGAACTCGGTTCGTCCCTCGTTGGCCGCGGCATTTGCGGATTGGGCCTCGAGGGAAGAAAGAAGAGCTTGGAACCATTCGAAAGATGAGGTATCTTTACAGACCCAGATGAACTCGACCCGACGCAATCGGCGAGGCGGGTTGGGGCTCGAGCGGAGATGCCAGATGTTTTTGAGGATTGATGCCCAGGGTGTAACACCAATTCCGGTGCCTATCAGCACAGCAATTTCGTTTTCGAAGACATCTTCTGCCGGTGCGCCATATGGTCCATCCACGCGGATTGCAGGCATGGTTTGTCCGTTTTGCAAAGCGACCTCGTACATACCGTTCGGGTCGAGACCTTCGAGGTCTTTGGCTTGGGCGGGACCGCAACCGAGAGCGTCTCCCAGTGCTCGTGTGAAGTCACCGACTTGGCGAACGTGAACACTGAGGTAGGGATCGAAGGGACAGGAGGTGATGGTAAATGGGTGCCATTGGGTGCTGGAAACATCAGGCACCTGAAGGAACAGCCATTGTCCGGCCTTGTACTTCATGCTTGACTTGTGGAACTGGATCTCCATGGCGGCTATACTAACGGATTAGCAAGGGACATATCAATGCATTGGGAGTGAACTATACCGTAAGGATGACGGATCACTTTTGTAATTACCGTCTCACGTCGAGCACGAATCTCCCTGTAGATTCGCTCCAAGAGATATAGAGCCCCAACCACTATCTCCCATCTCCATCCTTCATACCCAAGGCAATGGTCCCAGAATGGCTCTCCGGCGAAGGGGGAGAAGGGGTCTGCGGTATCTCGCACGAAGCATCCAGTGGCATGGGTGTAGAGAGCCAGCATAAACGGAACAAACAAATGATGCGCATACCAAAAAGTCTCGTAGGCTTGCTGGCGAATGCGATGGTGGGCGGTGGTATACATGAGCATCATGCACAGAAGCATGACATGTCCAGTGATGCCACTTGCTTGGGCAAAGTGGATCTCAACTGCTCGCTCAGGGCGGATTTGATTCTTTTCGACGTTGTAGAAGCTAATATAGTTTAGCAAAGGAAATATTGGTGGGTGTACGATGAAGGAACTTACTTGACGTAGTGAGCAGCAGTATGGATAGCTGTGAAAACAAGCATGGAATAGGCAATCTGCCGATGGAACCATGCAGACTCATCCAAAGGTAGCCATCGGATCTGGGGTCTCAGCCATCGAAGAATGTTCCGACACATGGGGAAGAGGATCAAAGTGCAATCAACGGAAAGGACAAGGCCTGCACCTCGTGATATCCATACTGAGTACTGGAGAACATTAAGAGCAGATAGTCTTGGGTCTGATGCTTGCAAATACCTATAGGACGTTAGACACTAATTGAATAAACTTGAGGCCGGAATACATACCATCCCACTGCAAACAGACCAATATGTAGACCCCAAAAGAACAGATGGAACAAAACCTTGGAGACAGTCAAATCGACCCTCTTGACCCAGGAATCGGGTGGTTTGACGTTCATTTCGAGCTTTTAGGGAATGTCGACCAGCAACGAGTGATTCAGGCAATAATAGCAATCAAAGGAGTGACGAGTCCGGATAGTTGACCAGCAACCCGGTAATAGAAACTGAAGTTTTGTCAGAAAGCGAGATCAGGAGATCCCTTTTCAAGACAAGATTTCAGTGTCAATACTGTAGATTAAGCGGCTTCGAATTTCGTCGGCGTCGTTGGTTCTCCATGAAACTTGATCCAAACAACGACCTTGAGGGTCAGCGCCTCGGAGATGATATGCCTTGCCTTTGGCGCAAAGTCCTAACAGTCACAGCTACTGTTAGATGATTATATTGTGGCTTGGATATTGAAACTGAGTCGCGCAGCTTGTCGCGAAAACGCCGGTTGGCCTTTAGAGGATTGCCTTAATAAGTGGCCTTGCCGTCAAATACAAGAGGGCACTGGGTACTCAGGGGAAAATGCGAAATTTTGCAGGTTGATTCAGGTTGTTTCAAGCATAGTTGACGTCAACCGATGGATAAAGACAAAACCGAAGAGAGTTGGAGGTTCAGAAATCCCAATGTTGTGGTTTTAGCTGCAGGGATGAGGGGGGCCGATCTATAATTACATCGCTTCCAGCGCGCACAACCAAAGGTGGGTTCTCATCCAATAGACTATTTAGGAAACCTATGTCTGTGCTTTTTAGAAGGTCTGCTTCAGGACAATGCTCAGTGTGATAGGTATTCAGGATGTAAGTCTGGAGGAATCTTCCGAGTTTCTGGGGCTTGTGAGAAAGACCTTCGTCAATTTTTGCCTATTCTCCTATCTCTGTTGGTCTTGGCTTGTACAGCCATGGCTTTAAACTGTGTTCATGGACGCCGTTAATATATCACTCTGCTATTTTTACTGACCGTTCGTAGCAGGCACACCAATCATGACACGCATATTGCGCGCCTAGAGACTACCGTGCCACGTTCCCCGCGCCACTTGCCGAAGCGAGCCTAGAGGAGGGAAAAGGAACGCGTACCAGGTTCATCCAATCTAATCTTACTTGCGTTCTTACACCACGAGAATTTGGACGGGTCGAAGCCGAACTTGAATGGAAATTAGCCCGAGGTGGCAGAGAGGCTGGTGAACGGCCAAGTCAAGCCAGAGAAAGAAGGAGACTAGCCTATCACAATCCTCCTGCAAGCGCTTCCTTTCGTCACACGGGAGCTCCGAGGGTACAAGGAGTCGGTGAACAAGCCTGTCATTCGTATCAGGATCGCTAGTGAGCAGTAGTGCAGGCTTGAGTTTGACCCAAATATAGACTCTTAATCTGCTTTCTTGATTTTCCCATTCCCCATTCTTCAAAGATATGAGTATCACATCTCACCTTGGCACTGCGGGTGAATGGCAGATTGTAATCAGGGCTGGGTTGGTCATCTGATCCGATGAATTCCAAACTTCGCATGTCTCGATCACAAAGTCCCCTAATGTACGGTAGATTCTGGAATTGCAGCCCGCACGATCCGAATATCCTCAAGACATTCAAATTCAAAGCCCTGAAGGCGCGTGCCACGAGCTGCAGCTCATCACGCCAAGGTCAGCGGTGTGGACTCTGATTCGTGCATGGCCGCTTCGCGATCCGCTCCGTCACATCGCCGCTCCCAATCACACAGCCATGTCGACTCTTGAAGAATTGCAGAGGGAGGGGATGTCAGGGAATAGAGGACCTTAGGGTCGATGATTGGCTGAGATCGCATAACTGCACCTGTGCGGATTACTAGCCCTATTATTCTCACCTTACAGCAACCAGGACGTGCAGCGATCACTTTTGGCGCTCCTCCGTCACATCCTAGCAACTTGTTCCGAGTACTCTGGGCTATCAGAGGGGTCGCATGGTCGTCTAAGTATAGATTCTTATACTTTGACCCGCCTGCAACCATGCCACTCGGGACATGGTTTTTCTTCCCCAGATCAATGCTGTCATGCCACGATAACACATTTTGACCCTCAACACATTACGGTTCATGTCCTTTACGATACTCAACTAAACAAACTACTCCATGGCTGGCTACTTTGCATCTACAATGAAGTAATTCTGTTGCGCATTCTGCCGCAACTTTCGGGACTCGCGACGTTTGACGCCCAGATTAACTTTACACCTTTCATTGCACCGAGCGACTACCGCGCGATTCCCTCCGAGACTTTCGCTGGACGAAGCCCCGTACACAATCCTCACGGCCTAGCTCATAGCCCGACAAGATGGGCAGGCTCATTAAGAACCACTGGGGGCGGTTAATAATACTCACCGCGGCAGCTTGTATGTGCCTACTGAACCGAGTCTATCTCGGTGCGAAGCTAACAATTTCGATGAACAGATCAAGTTGCCAGCGCCATCGAAGGTTTCATTTGGCCCAAGGTATTCTGGGACTTCGTCTCTAAGAACCTCGACGCCGCAGTTGCACCAGTCCCAGTCCTCCAAATCCTAAATCTCATTATGGGCCTCGTTGGCATCGCGTGGGAATGGCCTCTCAAATCACTCGCGGGATCAATACCCCACCGCAGCATTGAAATCCGTCTCATCATATACCCACTCAGCGCTCTACTGGCCGCTCTACTCTACCAAGGCACCGATCCAGCGATATATTATCTTATCGGGATTGGTGTCTATTTCTGGGCCTATAGTGAAGGCGAGGTATGTTTGCATTTCTCTACAACTCAAGCGCTTCCATGCTAAACAGAGATTGGATAGGTCGTCTGTCCGGAACCTTGGACCTTGCCGAAGCGCCCTGGGCTATTTAAAGCATAGCGATATTGTTCGGTCTGGTGCATTGAGTGTATCAGACGCAGACCATGTATATAATCTGATGCATAATGAACATAATATATGGACAATCATATTGTTGATCATGCGTAGAGGCTGAAGGTTACTTCGCAGGTGGGTCTGTAGATTCTTGACAACAATTTACCACTAAATAGGAGTCCGTAACATCTGGATGAAATCTCACAACTAGAAAATGAACTCAATAATCCATGCGCATAACAGAAAGGTGTATGTACAAAAACATTTTAAGGTTAGCGTTACTTCGTAAACTGCATTATAAGGCACTAAGGCATCAAGCTTACATGATATCTTCTCTCCGGGCCGTGATTACACTGGTCATCGTAGTCCATCTACCTCGACTTGAGAAAAGTGAAAAAGCAAACCTCCTGCACTTCAATGTCGGGGCTGTCTTCAATGTTATGCTGTCGCTATACTCTCGAAATCGAGAATTACCCGTTGCGACTGACACCAGTTCAGCCTGAGCGTGCAGGACAACAAGATGCCTCCACGGACCCAGACTGAGGAGCCCAAGCTGGAGGATGTACCAGTCAACAAGATCACCAGTTTCAATGGCAGTCTGCAGCAGTACCTACACGGGAGCAATGCAACGCAAGAAACTACAGGGACACAGAGCAACGGTATATCAAATCGGCGAACCGACACCACCAAAGACGATCAAAAAATATCAACAATCGACACCCTGCCACCTAGCACAAGTTCCAGCCCCAAGCGCAGGAAGGCTATCACAAACGGTACCACCACAACAACCAAAATCACCCAGTCCCGATCCTCGTCAAACCCAACCGAATCCCCTCCCAAACGCAGACGAAACATCCCCCAACCAAAAATCCCGACAGCGGGCCCAACAGCGGGCCCAACAGCAACAGAATCCGCTCTCCGCGACACAATCCCCAAAAACCTTCTCCTCCTCCTGGTAGGTGTAAACCCAGGCATAATGACCGGAATAACGGGGTACGTCTACGCACACCCATCAAACCTATATTGGAAACTGCTCTATTCCTCAGGAATAACACGCATCCGCCACATACCAGCGGACACCTACAAACTGCCCGAACTATACAGCGTCGGCAACACGAACCTCGTGGAACGACCCACCCGCGACGCGAGCATGCTCACGCGCGCCGAGATGGACGCCGGCGTGCCGGTGCTTGAAGCGAAAGTTGCTGCGCAGAGGCCTGAGGCTGTTTGTCTTGTTGGGAAGAGTATTTGGGAGGCTGTTTGGAGGGTTAGGCGTGGGAGAGGGATTCGGAAGGAGGAGTTTCGCTATGGGTGGCAGGAGGAGGCGGAGAATATGGGACGTGTTGAGGGTGAGGGTGGATGGCCTGGTGCGCCGGTGTTCGTGGCTACTACTACTAGTGGGCTTGCTGCTGGGATGAAGCCTGCGGAGAAGGAGGCTGTTTGGGCAGAGTTGGGGAGGTGGGTTGTGCGGAGGAGGGGGAGAGGGAAGGGTTGAAAGTAGAATCTGAGCTGTGAGTGTGTTAGATGGTGATGCTTGGTTTGCTTGGTTTGCTATATAGATGTCACGACGAGCTACGACTGAATTGCTTAAAGTATACTTGGTGAATCTACGACTGCGATGGCATTGAAGTTTCAAAATATTTGTAATTTGCGTGACGAGTCAAGTCGCTCATCATTCATTATCTCATGATATCAGGTACAGAAGCCTGTGAGTCCCAGGATGCAAATCCGAACACCGCCAACGAACACTCCTCCAAGCCCATTCCAGGGCAGATGCTCATAAAATCATTGGAGAGTGACGATATGTCCGTTCAAAGGAACCAATGCATCGAATAGGCATACAAGGTGTGGTTGGAGGATATGGATATCTCAATAAAAGGCCAAGGTGGGTAGTAGAGGACGAGATATATCCAGGGCGTGCTTCAATGAAGACACCCATGCCCGTATGGTCTGTTATTGACCACGTGAAAGGTAGAGGACAGATTTAGTGGTTGACCATGGGTCCCTTGGAGTCGTTCTTGCTGCCCTCACGTTCGCGGGCCTGTATGGTAGACAAGTTAGTATTGACTCTATCAATTGTCCGCCGGTGTGATTCTTACCGGGGAAGCCTGGTACTCGCCGCCTTCTAGGATCTTGGTCATGCAAGCGTCTTCGTTGTCTGTGCCGAATTCGTTCTGCAGCATGCTCTTGCTGGCGGTGTCAAGGACACCTTGGGCTCCGTGGCTGAATGAGATGTTAGCGATTGAACAATGACATGACAGCCCTGAGCCTTGTTGAGGGAGGATAGACATACGAGTGAGTGACAAAGATCTTCCAGCCGTTTAAGACGTTAGCAAGGGCGATGCTGCGGTCGTTCTTCCACTTCTGGAGGATGTCAAGATCGTCGACGAAGACAATGAAGTCATCGGACTTGCCCTTGTAGAAGATCTTGGAAGCGGTTTCGTTACCACGAGCCATTGTGACGAATGTGTGTTGGAGATTAAGAAGAGAGAAAGTTGGGGAGAGTGTTTGAGAGAGAGATAGAGAAAAAGTAAAAAGAGAAAAGTAGACGAGGTTTAATAGCTGAGCTCAGGTGATGATGACTGGTGACGTCACCGGGCTGATGTATAGCTCGCGTGTCACTTTGGGACTTCTGTTTGTCCCTTGTCGCTGTTGAAAGACGCAGTGGATATGCTAATTACGGGTCTTGTTACCAATTAGCTACTATTCTACAGTTGTTCCACGGTGAATTGCCAACTATTGCAGCTGTCGACGTCATAGTACGCTCCATGCCCGTTGCCGGATCCGCTGTGACGCCAAACGTGGGGATACTCCCTTGCGAACAAGGTGGCAAGTTGCAAGGTTCAATGGCATGCATTCCAATAAGGTATAGCATGCAAGCCACAGTTTTCGCCAAGTTAACAATATCCCTTGATCCCAAAACTCCACCGTCTCAACTCCCTAACAATAATTGCTTCACTCATAAGAGTGGGGCTTGCGCGACTGCTTTGACGCAAAGATACTGAACAAATTCATAGGAGACAACCATTTCTTGGGAGATGACGGGGCCTCGGAGCTTCCGTCTTGGCTCCATTGTTTCTCGCTGCGAGGTGAAGGGCTCGTCACCGGGGACTTGGGGGACTTGGGGGACTTCTTTGGAGACCCCCTGAACCGGAGCGTTCTCGATCGTCGCGGTGTTGTGAGTTTCTGGAGCGACTGGAGCTCGACGTCCTTGTCATTAAACACTTCACTGCTACCTGCGATATCCTTGCCCTCTTCGTCGTCGTTCGATTCAAACCCACTAGGAGCTGGCCCTGAACGCGAGGTTCTGACAGAGCTTGACCGTTTGGTGAAACCGGTATGATGACTCAGTCGTCTCATGATCGAACGACGTCGGAAAAGATCCCCTCTCCCAAGGACCATTCCGGGCAGTGGAAGAAGGTCTCTGGTGTACACGTCTGCAACCAGACGCTCCAAACGGATACGATCAATGCGTCGAGCTGTGAAAACTAATACTCCAGGCGAAGCTGGTATCTTGGCCCGTTCTATCTCGCCATCCACCGGTGTGGCCGGCTCTTCGGCGTTGCGCGGGCGGTGCGTCTTCTTGATGACCACATGTTGGACGTGGGACCTGCGTGAAATTGACATGGAGTCCATGGAGGATCTCCGAGCCAGGGATGACACTGCGTACTGGACACGATTGAGAGGCGCTAAGTGGAGGGCCAAAAATGAATATTTCCTTCGTTCCCTCGTCCCTTGTTGGCCCAGTTCGACCATTGCGGCGGAGGCTTTGAGAAGCTCGGTGTTCCACTGCTTTTCTTCCACGGCCGATGATGCACTGAGTACAAATTCGTAGTTTTCTTCTTCCTGAAATTGAAGTTTCCATGAAAACAGACATCCATAGCAGCACAGACCTGTTGGGTTAGCTAGATATTCGATGATCAGCTCAACTGAATCCTGCTTACCTTGCCCATTCTGGATTGTATCAATCTTGACATGGTCTAAAGAAATGCAGGCCACTGCTTCCAGTCTATGTAGTTCATCAATACCTTTGGCCAGAAGAAGATAATAATTGAAAAGAACGCAGACCATGAAATCCCCGGCAGTGGTTTCAGGCGTTTGATATGCGACATGAAGAACACCACAGAGAATCATTGGGCCGAGATCCTTGTATATACCTTCAAGTGCGCCCTGCCCGAAAGCTATTAGTTGGACACTTGGATTATGTAGAGTTTGATTGCATACCAATTGGGGGATTTCCACTCTGCGCTGGAGAAGAATTGTTTTGTGGATGCGATCTTTGTTGATTGGATTTCCAGTGGCTGAATTGATACGCGTAACTAATGTACGCATACTCTCCAAAATTTGTCGAATCCCATCATGCGAAGAGGGACAATCACTGACGGGGGTAGCTCTGAGCAGATCCTGTAGCATGAGAGGATATTTGCAGAGACGTTGGATAGGCTAATTACTTGTCAGTGGATGCGTCAACAGGAGTACCTGGGCGACGGACTTTTATTAACAAGTCGTTCAAGGTCATTGATTTGTTTTCCTCTTGTCTCCGTCGGTCTGTAGACGCAACCGATTTGGATAGTGCCTCGATCCCCTGGTCATATACTGTCCAATTGGCAATTGACCGACGTAGAAGAGCAACGTCTTGTGTAAGGAGCTCATAGTTGCTGCAAAATCGGTCGTATGCAGAGAACGAAAGCGACTGCATTGGAAGCATCAGTTTAATTACCTAGTAAAAAAATTATTCTGAGAGGCTCACCAGGTGTTCAATTCCCCGCGCAACTTCAAGTGCTTCTTTTGGCTCTGCGGTGAGCACCTTGAGGCGCTGACTGATAGATGCTTTAAACGTTCGAGTCCTCAGTGATCGCTGTTGAAGCCCCCTCAAACTGTCTAAGTCAAGGGCCCCGAGTCGTTTGGAAATCCCCCGGGATGTAAGTCCAGAGAGGCCTGCCTGTTCAACATGCGGTTCCGACATGGGCGAAATCATTTGAAGCTGGATTAAAAACTGCTCGTGTAATCCAAGAATCTCCTGGATGTTGTGAGATATCTCATGCCTTGCGCTAAATATCGTAAAGACCTATACAAGCACAGAGTACATCAGCATGGATTCTAGGCCATATATTGTCTCACCTACTTACTCCTACAAGGGCTTTAAGGCCTAGCACATAATCAGACTCCGTGACAACAATCTCTCTCAGGATATGACGCCGTTTGATCGCCCGTGCCTCTGCGGCTTCATCGACGTATTGACTAGAAGTTGGACGGGGGCTTTCGTCGGAATCGCGCACATCCGACAACAGGCTCTGGTTCACTGCGCTCCGTGTGTTTCCCCTGGATCTTGCCATACTCTGGCTCTCAATGCTCGTTGACGTCGTCTTGACGGTCCCCAGTTGCGATTCATCGGACACATTCGACTGTTGGCTGTGCGAACCATGAGATGATGTTTCCGACCAGCCTTCCACGTATCGTCGTTTGAAGGTCGGGGATCCGTGTCTGTGTCCTTTGAAGCTATCCATCCATTTTTTGAACGGACGAACAGGTTGTCTGTCAGCCGGAGTCATTGGCTCGACGTGTTGGAGCTTCTCTGCGGACTCATCGAGCAGCGCTTGCTTCTCGACCTCGATCTCATCATCCATGGTGACACCAAGGGTCAGACCAAATATATTCCAGAGTTGACATGCACACAGCGCAAAAGAACTTAAAACAGGAGCGAGCATGGCGGGAAAGACCACGGATGTTCTTGCCCTACATCGTTGGCTTGGAGAGAAAGAAGGAAATCGCAGATTTGAATCTCATCCATGTACGTCATGGGGGACATGGCTGGGATTGCAATCATGTTGCAAACAACTTCCATCATATATAATTGGTGACTGTTCTCGGTCTCTTTGAGGCTTGCAAAAAGGAAGTTCGTAACTCTGTATACTTCGAGCGCCAAGAACCCGCGCTTATATAAAAGCATCAGACCCACTTGGGGATCTGCCACTTCTCTCTACTCTGTCTTGCTATGGGAATCGTTATGGACGACATCCATGCCCCAACTGTCGCCTCCGGACCTTCGTCCGGGGCTGTTCCTCGCGACTTGTCTAAGCTGTCGATGACCGACCTGATGCAGGAGAAGCAACGCCTGGAGGATGAGCTCAAAGCTCTCAGTGCTGTTCTCGACTCGGTAAGACTCCCCAGCATGCTTCTGTCGCTGTTACTAACTCGCTGCTTTCTTCTAGCATGGCGTTCGCATGACCTCCTCTCTAACTACCTTTGATGGCTACCCACGCGATGATATCGACATCGCTCAAGGTGCGCCCCGCCCTTCCCCCGCCGCCTATCCATACCACATTGCTAAATGATGACTCAAGTTCGAACAACACGCGTGCGCATTATTCACCTACGCAATGACCACAAGGCAGTGATGGAACATCTTGAGAGGGGCATCCACGCACATTTCGCCAGCCTACAGAACACGCCTGACGCACGCCCAAATACAAATGGCGCTAGCGCTGCTCCACCCGCCCAACCAACAGCGCACCCAGCAGTAACTGCAAGTGCTACACCGGGGGCAGCATTTGCCAAGGTTAATACCGTGGTGCCGGGAAGTCCAGCAGATCAGGCAGGACTGAAGGCAGGGGATATCATCCGAAGCTTTGGCAATGTCAATTGGCTGAATCACGAACGTCTTTCCAAGGTCGCCGAGACAGTTCAACAAAATGAAGGGGTACGTTGAAGTATTCTGGCATTTCGGAATGTACAAATGTCTAACTTTGATTTATAGCACCCAGTATCAGTCAAGGTCAGCCGGACGGACTCCACCGGATCTGGCCCTGCTACTGAGCTGGACCTCCAACTCACTCCTCGGCAAAATTGGGGTGGCCGTGGCTTGCTGGGATGTCATCTAGTGCCATTATGAGAGGCTCAAGGCACCCGTCCGGACCAGAATGACCCGATTCCCCCTATGTGTTTACTTCATGATTAATGTGAGATGTCTCCAAGCTTTGCTGTCCGATTTGTAAGCGACCTGAGAATCCTCGTAAGGAATTGTCGGGTTGTAAAGATGTTGGATCAGATGTTGGGTAAATCCGCCTCACTGTGCATGAGTGCATGGGAGACCAACAGATAAAAATAGACCACTGAAAGTTGAACGACAAATGCAGTATACAGTAAGTAAATCATAGTACAAAGCAGGCAGCAATGAGTAGCAGAGGTAGCAACAGGAGGTTCATAGTCCGAACTGTTTGACACTACGTCAGCGCGCCTCAGGCACACAGGCACGTGACCCGGCAAAATTTCGTTATTATTCACTGAGGCCCCTTCCTCCACCCCTCCCCCATCATCAACCTTCATCTCTACGGCGCGATCTCTCAACCCTTTCTTGAGATTATTGACATTTCAAAATGAACGCCACTCCCACTTTCAAGCTCGTCCTGGTCGGTGACGGTGGTACCGGAAAGGTAAGCGCATTCCCCTTCGTTTGTTCTTGATGGGAACCTGGTTCAAAGAGGTCATCGAACATGGTTGTCGATTCTGTCGATAGAGCCTACACACGATACACCTCAATTCTCCCGATTCTTATGAATTCCTCTTTTCCCCGCGCCTGTCAACAGCGAATCTGAATCTCTGCCCAACGACCCCGCCTCACCGCGACTTCAATTACTAACGCAGTCAACCACAGACCACCTTCGTCAAGCGTCACTTGACTGGTGAATTCGAGAAGAAGTACATTGCCACCCTTGGTGTCGAGGTGCACCCTCTCAACTTCAACACCGTATGTGCCCCGCCGAAGAGCCCCGCTTCGAATCGTTCGACCCTGTGATTGTGTCAACTAACCCCGACCCGTACAGAACTTCGGTGCTATCCAGTTCGATGTCTGGGATACCGCTGGTCAGGAGAAGTTCGGCGGTCTCCGTGATGGTTACTACATCAACGGCCAGTGCGGTATCATCATGTTCGATGTTACCTCCCGTATCACCTACAAGAACGTCCCCAACTGGCACCGTGAGTACCTCTGCGAAAGCGACTGCGACTATTCAAATGCTAACCGATATCAGGTGACCTCGTTCGTGTCTGCGAGAACATCCCCATCGTCCTCACCGGTAACAAGGTCGACGTGAAGGAGCGCAAGGTCAAGGCCAAGACCATCACCTTCCACCGCAAGAAGAACCTCCAGTACTACGACATCTCTGCCAAGTCCAACTACAACTTCGAGAAGCCCTTCCTCTGGCTCGCCCGCAAGCTTGTTGGCAACCCCCAGCTCGTACGTCCTTTATCCGTCCCGCCTCATTTTCCTAATTTTCGCCACTCAATACTAACTGAACTTTTTACAGGACTTCGTCGCTGGTATCGCTCTTGCTCCCCCTGAAGTCACCGTCGACGAGGCTCAGCTCGAGGCCTACCGCAAGGAGATGGAGGAGGCCCAGAACCAGCCTCTCCCCGACGAGGACGACGCCGACCTGTAAAGCGGTGCACTCAGCAACGGGTCTACGAAGTTTCCGACACGAATGTTGGGAGTCGCCTTACCTCGTTCGCCCCCTCAAGCCCGAGTTTAAACTCGAATTCCGGCCAGTGGGAGGCAGGAAGTATACGACCCCCGGGGTTTCCTTTTTTTAGTTTGGGGTTTGCCTTGCAAAAGCAAAGTCTGTTCTCCGAATCACGATACAATGAAAGCGGATGGGGGATAGTCGTGGTTTGAAGACACGGGCGGCACGATCATGCATCTTTGTTCTTTTTTTTAATTCCGAATCTCCTCCCCTTAGTAGTTTAGACTCCTACCATCCCAATCGTCCTTTTTTTCCCCTCCCCGAAATGAGCACACCGCAAAACAAAAGCATGTCCTCTTTCAAGACATAAGACCTTTTTTTCAACACTATTCTACTCATTCCCAATCAGATAGATCTAGATATGTGGAAATCTTTTGATTTAATAACCGCAAAGCAAGTAATACATGTAACGAAATGCGCATGTCTCGTAGCAAATACTTGAACCTCGGAAGCCTTTTTTTTCGACGAGAAAACAACACAAGGGTATAGAAAAACAGAAAATCATAAAAAACAGAAACACAACACGCCGAGCATCTTCTAGAGGGAAAGTAGAGGCCAAACAAAGGCACAAAACACAAAAAATCAAAATGATGCAGCAATGACCATACTCTCCCAATTCTTTTAAATCATGCCCAAGACCCCAGTGGAGGAGTGGAAAGCAAAGACGACCAAGTAGTTCGTGACGGCCCCGGGGTAGTCTTCTAGCGCAATTCTCGCACGCCCTATATAGAAAATAAAACCGTTAGCAAAACATCCGATCACGAAAGCAAGGCAAAGAAAGAAGAAACATACAAAGAGATAAGCCAGTTCCCTAGCATCCAAACGGGTGACATTCATAGTACCACCTTCATCAAGGGCACCACTAATCAATTCGCGCTTCTGGTCCTGAAGAAAGACAATACGATCCTCAACGGTATTCTCAATCAGTAAACGATGAACAAAGACCTCGCGGATCTGCCCGATACGATGAGCACGATCGACAGCCTGGTCCTCAATGTAAGGATTCCAGAACGGGTCGAACAGGATGATATGCGAAGCGGCGACGAGGTTCAGACCTGAGTTTCCGGCCTTGAGAGACACAAGCATGATCTTGCAAGAAGGGTCGTTGGTAAAGGCTGTCACGGCAGCGTTGCGTTCTCTCAACCCCATGCTTCCGTCGAAGCGGGTGTGGTTCCAGCCGCGGCGGGAGATAGGGACTTCCAGTAGATCGAGGAGGGATGTGAATTGGCTGAAGATGATGGTTTTCTCGTCCAGGCCGCGGTCTTCGTTGGCTTGGAGGATCTCAATAGTCTTCTCGATCTTGGTGCTGGGAAACCAGCCCTTTTCCAGTCGGCGGAGGTATTTTTTCTTCTCGCTTTTGTTTCTGTGGGCAATAGTTCGTAGCTGGGCGAGGGATTTATTCTTTGCTGGTGCATCCTCTTCTTCAGTATCGCTGTCGGACTCTGACGAACTGCTTGCTGTGGCCTCGTCGTCTTCGGCACCGTTGGTTGCATCGGTCTCCTCAGTAGGTTCGGGCAACGAACTAGGGTCGTGGACTTTCTGGAACGAAAGTGTATCGGTGAGCTTGCTGGGATCGACAGGGCCTCGACAGTTCTGACACTTGATCAAGGGAGAGATATCGTCATCAATTGCGGCTGGGTTTGCAGCTGCGTTGTCCATTATGCGGATCCAGCACTCAGAGCACACGTGGTGTCCGCAGGGAATGTAGATTGTGGCATTTCCAACGCTGTCCATACAGACAGGGCAAGTTCCATTTTCTTCACCGTCATTTGTTTTGATACGCTCGACAACAGCGGCGGTCAGGAGTTTGGCGTTGGCGATTTTGTCTACCCCGGGATCGCTGGCTGCGGGTGCTTCCGTTCGGAACTCCTTTATGAGAAGCGGATGACAGCAGGCTTGTCGAAGACGGAGAAGAAGAGCCAGAACATGACCGTAATTACTTCCCAGTGTACCAGCATCCAGATATCGGTTGATTTGGCGTTGAGTGTTTGCATTGAGTTCGTCATACACCTCGCGTTCCTTGTCACTGAACAGCACTTGAACCTTCTCGGTGATTTTTGGCGGGAGTTGCAGGATCGGTTGACCGTCAATTTTAGAGGCCTTCGTACGTCGAAGACAGACAGATTTGACGAGGACTCGTAGCTGCTTCATTACGTCTTCACCTCCCCAGCCCTGTTTGATGCGTTTTGTGAAGTCCTGCACAATTGTGTTAATTAAATCCAGGCTAGTGGCCGATTGATTTTATGAACACTTACCGATTTGAACTTTTTCGCGTTGCTGTATGGCCGGATTCGCAGGAATCCCAAGAGAGATTGGAAATCTTCAAGGCGGTTCATCATTGGCGTACCAGTCAAACACCAGCGATAAGTGGAGTTGAGGCGACAGCATGCCATGTTAGATTTGGCATTGGGATTCTTGATATTATGTGCCTCGTCGATAATGACTCGATGCCACTTGCAGGCAGGGCTCAGGGGACCAGCCGTACTTTTGAGGTCTCGAATCAGGTCTTGGTCCTTACCCTCCGTTGCCATCTCTTCGGCCCTGAGTAACGTCTTGTAGTTCGCAGTGAGCGTGCCAAATGTCGTGATAACGACGTCGTATTTCTTGAGCTCTCGCCAAGGCTTCTTGATTGAATGATAGATCAGAACTGACAACTGATGCGGGCCTGCTTTCACATGGCGCTGAATTTCAAGTCTCCATTGATCCATCAGAGACTTAGGGGCAATGATCAAATTGGGACGTCGATCGACATCGGTGTATGGGCGGGCAACCATAAGCGCTATCGCCTGAATGGTCTTGCCGAGGCCCATATCATCTGCGAGGATCCCGCCTTTGTGGTTGCTTTCTTCCTTGGCCTTCATCCAATTCAAACCAATCGTCTGGTGTTTCATCAACGTGACTCGAAGTGCACCGGGCGTCTCATCCCTGTCTGCTTTCGTTGCTTCGCGGATATCCTTGATACCAGCGAGCAAGTTCTTGATATCTTCAGGAAACTCTTTCTCGTCGTAAGCCCTACGATCATGTCAGTGCCAAGTAGACCCGTTTTGGAAGACGAAGGAACATACGCCACATCAAACTCGTCATCGAACATCTCTTCTTGGTTGCGGACCAAGTCAAAAGCCTTATCATAGGGTCCCACACCCTGCGATGGATATCGCGAACCGTCCACCCAAGGAAGTGACCTGGGAGGAAGTTGTGCATATGGCGATTGGGAATTATGGGATTGGAAGGGATATGCGGGTCTGGAGTAATTCTGAGCAAGAAACGGGTTCGGAGGATATGCAGCGTGGAGGGTATCGAGGGTGTTCAAGAAACCAGATCGGCGAAATGGCGGCGCCCCGGCTCGAGTGTTGAACGAATCAGCAGTGATTTCTTGAAGATCATCATCGGAGCCAATACTAGGGTAAGAACCAGGGACACGGGGAGGAGAGTCATAGGGATTCGTAGGAGCCTCCATTTTTAATTTCGTCGGTTGGCTGCGATCAGGAAGATTCCACGAAGGCTGATTCTGGGTGCTAGGAAGCAGAGGTTGATAGTGATTCTCTTGAGCCTGCAGCATTCGGGCCATTTCCGCGTCACGCGCCATTTGGAATTCCTTCTTCATATCCCGTTGCGAATCTTCCAACTCTTCTTGAAATTCCCTCAGGACATCGGCCACGGGCTTTCCTTGCATTCGAGATTCTTCCTCCAACGCTTCGGGTTCCATCAATTCCTCGAAGAAGAGCCGATTATCAGCAAGCATGCGTTCCTGGAACGCAATGAGATCATCTAGTTTAGACCTGTGAGAGTTAGGCTTCGGAAACACAGTCCTCTTGGATGGCCCTGGCAAAGTGGGCGAACTGCTAGAAAGCGGACGCGGACGTTTGCGAGAGCCTTCCGGTGGAGGTGATCCAGGAGGAGACATTGATGATGATTGCAGCATTCCCTGTTGAGAGGAAGGGGAGAAAGTCGAAGACACAGAAGGCCGATGGTGTGTTGAAACAAAGTCCCCTGGTCTTCTAGGCACGGGATCTGACGGCATGCGTGCAGGTTCAGGAGCAGGTGTGGGCGGGGTGTGAGATGAGGCAGGCTGTGTCGGCGCAGGCTCTTCTGGTACAGTTCCAAGTAGCCGAGCAACCTGGGACTCCAGCGACTTGATGGTCGACATCATTTCGGCTGCTGATTCGCCATCGCCCCTGCTTGCCAGGAGATCCTCATACAGGAATTTATGCAGGTCAATGTCTTCAAGAAGGTCTTTGATCTTGTCCTCTTGGGACTGGCAAGTCTCTGTGTAGGCCATCGCCATAATTCAACCAGTCGCGATTTTGATGGGTCAAAGATTCTCATGAACACTCCGGGCGCGTGGCAATTGACCCGACGCTGGCAGAATTTAAGGACGCAAAACAACAGAACGGACAAACGCCAACAAAATGGCACAAATGAGTGCCAGAAACAGTCGCAAGTGAAGGCCCCAAAAGGAGGCTTAAATGAGGGATGAGTGATCTGAGAAAGTGTCAGTTGACCTTCATAAGCAAACTGGAAGGGGGAGCGGGAGTTGGCAGACGGCGATCGCATAGAAAACAAAGCAAAGCATGGAAATGATAGATCGCGTCTCTATCTCCGTGAAGTGGGAGTTTGGCAGGGGTCAGACTCACTGGACTGTCTCTCGAGTACGGTCGATAGGCACGTCCACCCGGTTGATCGTGAAGTGAGGCTGAGGGGCAGATATTGCGGGATGACGGAGGAAATAATACAGTTCGTTATATAGAACAGTGCGCTCGATCAAGGAAGAACAAGGCAAGATGCTCCTCTCAACTATTCAGACGGTCCCCGGGCAGGTCCGTGTTCGCCTGACGGGGTGTTGAAGTTCTTAAAATGTCATCGTGAGCATTTGGCCAAGGATGCAGGGGTGTTCTACACTACAAAGGGCGACTTAGGTACCTGGACTAGTTCATTGAGAGGCATGTACTTCAAGGTGTCTCGGTTCTATAATTTTGCATCGCTATATTTAACTTGATTGCTCCTACACGCCTTTAATTGAATTTCGCGAATATTTGCAACTTGATATCGACGCGCTTTTATCAGCACGTGATCAGCGGGTCAAACTATGTTGACAAACATGACAAACCAGTCAAACCAGTCAAACCAGTCAAACCGGTTAAACGGGCTTGCCCTATCCAAGGCGATTTACACCTGAAGCCGCAAATTATAGTTCTAACCTACCCCGTACAACCTCATTGCTCTATTTCAACAAGACTGTGACTCATTTGATCGGCCGAGGCAATTACCGGATTAAATATCAAAAGACAAGCTGCATTTAGTTCCGATGTGCAGATAGAGATAGCATCAATCAGAACGAAAGAGCGACATCTCCGACTGGTAGCCAAGACGTAAATCAAGGGAGGAAACTTGCAGGGTTAGAGAAATTCACTCATAATGTGTGGAGCACGGAGCTTCTGGATCATTGTTCTTGGATTTCGTTCTGTAAGGCAATATGCACTTGTTTTCTTCTATCATCGATCATCTGCGAACTCCCCATCTCATAATATATCCGCAGACAGACTTAATGAGAAGCCAGCTATCATGGCACCGACACATCCATTGGCTCGACTGTGGAAAGTGAAGTCCATACAGCAGATTCTCGCGAACCTTGGCAAAAAGAGATCTCGCCGCAATGCGTCTCGTCTGCCACAAGTTCGCAGTTGACCTAGAACCATTTCTTTTTGCGGACATTGAAATCCGCTTCAGCAGCAGTACATTCAACAGGCCGCCACGAATGGCAGCTCTCGGCGCGTCGGTCGATATATCCAAGCGATGACTTTCAGGATACCGCATGATAGAACCACATTCCTATCTCCAATCTTGGATCTCATCGCGGGCACAGAACGGACCTTTGTCTACGCACCAAGCGGTTGTAACGACTCCAAGTATGAAGGCCGGGAGATGGCCGATTTGCTAGTCAAGCAATATCCGCCACTGTTCCACGCAGCCACGGACATCCCGTCATTTGTGAAAGCATTGACAATAATGAGCGGATTGCGACTATCTCTGAAAATTTCCTACAAGGATCAGCAGCCCAGCCATCGCTATCGCCGAAGTGTAGTGGACTATGCACTAAGTAGCTTGCAGCTTGCGAATGGAAATTGAAAAACCACAGTTGAAAGACCTACACAGCCTGTCATTACTGTTACTGTCAGAGCACCCAGGCGCGGTGCTCTACCTACGACCATCCAGGATTCGGCATTTCTCCAGCACCAGCAAGCGCTGGGCCCAAATCCGCTAACTGACAATCCAAATGACAAGTTTTGCGTATGAGCCGGCCAGCCGACAGACCACTTGAAATTCCCCCATGCCTATCTCGGCAGTTTCACATCCCTGCAACAATTATTCTTTCACTGGGATGGTGATAGGGGCCTGTCGCCCCTGTCGCTCGCGACAGAGTCAAGTTTCAGCGATGCAGTCAAAGCAAAGCGAGGCCCGGTTTGCCCTCGACACCCTGAGAAGCTGTTGCGACAACCGCAATTCGCGTCTCTCATCCAAGAACACAGACTTTCCTTACGGGAGTTCAATTACAAGAACGTAGTTTTGCACAGCGGTGCCTGGGACGATGCGCTCGCGCCATTAAACCGACTCCGCGGCAGCGAGGGTTGGAAGCAGAGACAAGACGAGAACGTCGTCGATGTGCCGATAGTGTTGAGCCCAGTTGGGATCAGTCAAAAGCAGTTGCAGAGGGTAACCAGTGCTCTACAGCAACAAAAAGGTACCGGGACCCTGAGGAGCCTGGCCCGAGCGAGATCCGAGACCCGCGAACTGCTGTCGGGGAGGCCCGATCATATGAAACGTCTGCTGCGTTCATCAGTGTTCTGGCGATGACGTTGAGGGCACGCGACGGCGGTTCTCTTCTCAGAAATGATTTGCATCGGCTAGTGTCGCGGTGAATACCGTATTAGTGCGAACCCCCCAAGACACCGCGGTACATGTACATGTGGAGAGTCGGAGGAAATGAGTGAAGGGGAAGGACGTGGAAATAGCATAGAACTGCAGATGTGGAGCTAGTAATGTCAAGCAGGAGTTGAATAGCACCAGTAAAACAAAGCCACAAGCCACGGAGATGTTGGGGGAGAACTGGGGAAGCAAGGAGTGGATTCACGGGGCCTCGGCACGACTGGTCACTTCACATGCGCTGGGCTCTTCCTATATGAACTTCACCTGCTGGCATTTTGCTTCTTCACCACAACATTCACCATGTCTCTCAAGAAAGGTATGCTATTCATATCTTCGCTTCCTCTCCCCAGGAACTAACAACCGACAGATTCCCACCCCTCGTCCGCCGCCTTCGACGTCATCAACCAGACGCTCCAGGCCAACGAGGCTGACCGCAAGGACGCCCTCGAAAAGGCCAAGGCCGTCGTCGCTTTCAACATCAAGAATTCCGACGGCAAAGAAGAGGCCTGGTACCTCGACCTGAAGGACAAGGGCGAGGTTGGACACGGGCTCGCTCCCAAGGGCGGCAAGGCTGACGGTGAGTTGAAATACCCCGAGAGCGCGCGTAACCACCAATTCTCTTTTATATACACATATACTGATTCTCCTTGTCTCTACAGTCACCCTCTCCCTTTCCGACGCCGATTTCGCCCAGCTCGTTGCCGGCAAGGCCAATGCCCAGCGTTTGTTCATGGGCGGCAAGCTGAAGATCAAGGGCAACATCATGAAGGCGACCAAGATGGAGCCTATCCTGAAGAAGGCCCAGGGCGGTGCCAAGCTGTAAAGATTAGATACCCGTTTGACAAAATGTATAAGAATCTCCCGAAGGGTCGATTCCAACTCTATAATTTCTGCGCCTATGCGAATATACACGAGTGAATGATTTCTTGTATGCGTGCCGATAGAAGAACTTAAGTCTATTTCCCTGCGTACATGTACAGTAGTATTCATCAAGTCTCCAAGTCCCGCACATGTCCCTGTCTCAAAACACGACCCTGGTCCAAAACCACAAAGTAATCCGCATCCTTAACAGCCTCGATGCGATGCGCGATAGTGATAACAGTTGACTGCCGCAACTCCTGCCTGATAATCTGCTGAATCTCAAGCGACGTCTCCTGATCGACTGACGCAGTCGCCTCGTCCAGAATGACAATAGCGCTCCGCCGCAGAACAGCCCGCGTAAGAGCGATAAGCTGGCGCTGACCCTGGCTAAGATTTCTCCCTCCACCTTCGATGTATGTATCAAGGTGCCAGCCATGCCGAATACACAGACGCTGGAGGATTTCGGTACACTGCTCATCGGTGTATTCACCCGTCGGATCCAGATTGAGCCGGATGCTACCTGGGAAGAGCACGGGATCCTGCGCGACAAAGGTAACGCGGGTGCGTAGTGCCTGTGTATTGACATCGGCTACGTTGATACCGTCGACGAGAATGCGACCGGAGTCTGGTCGGATAACACTTAGGAGGGACATTGCCAGGGTTGATTTGCCGCTTCCTGTGCGGCCGATGACTGCTGTTGTTGAGCCGCCCGGGATGCGGAGGGAGATATCTATTAGGGAAGGTTCGAGAACGGGTGCGTAGCGGAAAGTTGCGTTCTCGAAGACGATGTCGCTGCTATATTTTGGCCATGCTGCCGGGGGGTTACCGTCCCCGGTGTTTCTTCTTCGATGTGGAGGAGCTCGTCGACTCGCTCGACTGATACGAAGTCCATTTGGAGTTGGCCGTATTGCTTGCACAGGGCATGTGTTGACTCGACGAAGTTGTTGGCGGCGATGAGTACGAATGCCACTAGACCCGGTGAGGTATTGGTGTATAGAGCTAGGGCCGTGAGGCAAAAGGTTGAGAATGCGGACAAGCCTTCGAAGCGGTACATCAACCAGCTTTGGAGTGACCAGTAGAAATGATCCATTCCTTGGAACTTATCGACCACGGACATGACTCGATCCTGGAAGCGTGCCTCTGCGTGGAAAGCTCGGACGGTAGTCAAACCGTGCAAAAGCTCACCGAAGTTGGATATCAGTGGGCTTAGGGACACCATTTCGAGTCTACGGAGACTCTGTGATGTGGGAAGGAAGCGCAGGAAGACTAGCACGAATGCCACTGTGAGAGCTATGGAGAATAAGAGGAACATCGGCGTTGCAGTGGCGATTACCAGCACGGATGACACCCAGGTGATGACCTGGAATGCGATCACCTGAAATTGCTCACTGATGTTGCCGTCCACGACCCCAATGTCAGAGGTTAGACGGTTCATTAGACGCCCAAGAGGGATTGTATCTGGATTATTAGCTATGTACTTGCAAGTCCAATTGTTTAGAACATACCCAAATATCGGAAGGTCGCGTGGCTGACACGAACAAGGACTTGTCGGAACAACGACTGCCCAGCGCAGTAGACGATGACTAGCATTAGCAATTGCGCAAAGAGCAGCATCGCCGCTTGGAAGGAGATGATGCCAAAGAATGCCCATAGCCATGGACGGACATCCTCGCGAGGAGACGGAAGTCGGTCCATCGGATTCTGAGGCATGAAGTATGTGTCAACAGTGGACGCCGACACTAACCAGGGGCCATTGGAGGATCTATTATCCAGACCTGAGGAGCTTCCCCTGAGCACGGTTGACTGCTCATAGGCCTCTCCCCATCCTTTGAGGAACCAGGATTGCCCAACGGCCATCAATCGGTATGTGGCTAGGACCAGGACGAGGGCAAGCCACCATCTGTACTTTCCAGCCTTGATATAGTTCCAATAGACTCGAGCCTTGACACCTCCTTCGGCACGGTGCTCATCCTCGATGAATTTGTCGGGAACCGCAGCGGTCTCTTCGTCAGGTGTGATTTCTGTTTCAGTATCACTTTCCGTATCAGTAAACCGTAGGGAGGATTCAATGCCGTCAGCCCGGAGTGCCTCTTTATCATAAACAGTCGCATGTCCGTCTCGGATATCGACAATTTGGTCTGCAATCTGGCGAACTAATGCAGTTCGATGCGTCACGAGAACAATAGTGCGGTCTTTCATCAACGGACCTGAAAGGCATTTGCGCACTATCAGCTCGGCCGTATTGTGATCTAGCGCGGACAGGGGGTCGTCCAAAAGCAGAACACGGGATGCACTGTAAACAGCCCGCGCCAGAGCCACTCTTGCTTTTTGTCCGCCAGAAAGACCGATGCCATTTTCACCGACAAAGGACAAATCTCCATGTTTGAATTGAGCGAGATCAGGAAGCAAGGCACATGCTTCTAAGGTTCGCTTGTAGCGTTGATCATGGTAAGGAGCGGAGAACAGGATGTTGTCACGAATGCTCATGCTTTGCAGCCATGGTGTCTGAGCGCAGTATCCCACCATTTCATTCGGGATATGTGATAATCCTTTGAGTCTATCAAGTTCCCCTAGAAGAGCCTGTAGGAAAGCAGTCTTCCCTGCTCCAACCTTTCCGGTGACAATAGTCAATCCTTGAGGAATGGTGACGTCGACGTCAACAAGAACAGGTGAAGCTTTACCAGGCCATGCAAAAGTGCAAGACTGCATTGAAATCGGAGCCGCATTCAACTGCTCAGGGGGTAGACATTCTTTATCCGGCTCAGACATGAAATCCTCAATGCGCCCTAGAGCAATGAACGCATTTATAAGCGAAGTGATGAGCCCAGGGATATCTCGCAGGCGAGATTCCAACATAGTGAACAGTTGCAACGCAGGAAAGATAATGTCAATCCGCAGCTCATGCCCCGCCAAGAAAGTGTAAGCATACAGCGCGACGACCGGGAAGACGCCACTGGCAAAGGCATTGACAAAGCGAATCAAGATACTCCATAGACTGGTCACGATGCGAATATTCAGTTCGTGTTGCCGAGCTTCCATAACCTGCTGGAGCCAATGGTTCTGCCACCCATACCACCGCAGGTGACGGATTGCTTCGACGAACTGGGAGGTTATTTGGAGTCTGGTATCTGTCGCTGCTCTTCTGACTCGCTCCCATCGTAGGAGGGCCCTGGTTATCAGTGCGTTTACCGCCTGCGCAACTAATACAGCCAAAATACCCAGAAAACAAGAGGGACCGAAGAGTGTCCAGACAAGGACTGTGGCTATCACAAGTCCCAGTGGCTTGTCTATTAAGGAGTCGACCTCCCAAAACCTTTGGGCAACTTCATAAACATCTCCCCGTAACAAGTTGAAGATCTTTCCAAGTGAGGCTGCTTCCTTGGCTTTCTTCTGTTCAGCTTTTTGATGGGTCTTTTGTGTAATTCGTCGCCAAAGGCTTGTCCCTGCTTTACCTGAAGAAGTTTGTGTCTCTTGGGTTAAAGTCTCGTTACCAGCCTCATTTGTTTCCTCGTTCGGCGCCTCTGGCTTGCCTTCAACCATCAGTCCCAAAATGTTCTTTCTTGATAGGGCCTTTTCATAGACCATCATGATCATTTCACCGCGAGATCTCTCGTAGCATCGTCGACCATACCACAGAAGCAGTACCTGGGATTGTGCCGCAACTAGTCTCAGAGCAAAGGACAAAAGCGCATAAGTCAAGGGTACACGTTTTGGTCGCGTGGGATCTTTCATGGCCCGCAACAGTTGCTGCAACAGTACTGGGGTAGAAAAGTCTGTGGACATCGTCAACATCTCGTTCAGAGAAAGAATCCGGCTTCACTTACCGCAGAGCATCTGAACTGTTGAAATGGCAGAGACGATAAAGACATCAATGCCATTTGCCCTCAACAGTCGACTGACAACAGACCCCCGGAGACAGCGAAACCTCTCATGCAGACGTCTGTGCTGAAATTCAAATCCAAGATGCCAAACATCTTGTTCATTTAGTTGCCTTTTGCATCCAGTCGAAATGAGCGGTGCCATCCAGGACACGGTGAGAAATTGCCAAAGTTTCAGATTATCTTCCGGGGTGCGAAAGTCGCTCGATGGCTGTTGACCAACAGCACTGATGTCTATTGGCTGAAGCGATGATTCTCGGAATGGCATCAAAAGTATCGTTAGGCAAGCCGCAGCCGCTGCACCGGCGGCAATATAGCGAGCGATGATCTTGTATTTCGGGTTCAGATCTGGGTGAGCGGCCAACGATAGCTCAATCGCAAATGCAAAGATGTAATACACAAGCAATGATATCGAACATGATCTTGGTCGCTTGGTTGCGATCAGAATCGATGCAGTAGCCTGAAAGAGGGTTAATAGCTGATATCCATAAAAGAGCATGTTGCTTACCCATGAAAAAACAAGAACTAATACCGACATATCAATGTCCGGAGGCACGGATTGGACAGTTTCAGCTAAGAGGCCAATAACCGAACAGATAAGAAGCGCGATGGTCCATCGTAGCGGTTGCTTCGGCGCATCTAATGGAAGCTCGCGAGTATCACGTAGCTCCGAAACAAACGGAACAGTCCATTTAGGACGCCAGTGAGAAAAGTACCCCAGCACATGGCTCAATGCAACAAGCAATGCAACGATTGCCGGGATGCACGCCAGATATGGCAATGCACAAGGTGACAGCCATGCATTATGTGAATCCTGGATTGGTCAGCCTGATACCTGATACTCACCGAAGCAAGGGGTCCCCAGTTCATACCCAGAATTGATCACACGTTCTGCTAGCCGTGAGAGGAATCTGATCCATGCTTGATCCGAGCATTGGCAGCTCGTACGTTGGCGATCCGGGTGCTAACGTGGGGCGGGATCAACGTTGCTCCGATCTCCAACTATAGACTTGGGGCATTTCCTTGCATTCTTGGGATATTGGGATAGTCGCGTAGAAGGAGGTCTCAACTAAGGGCAGCTGTGGTGCTTCAAGACTTTGGGCAATGCTACGTGAATCGTGTCGATCAATGCGGGAATTCATCCGCCGCGGGGCCGCCTCGACGCTGGCATGTCTTGGCGCGTGCAGTAGCTACACCGCGCAAAAAACTATTTTAGATCACAACACAACCATAGTGGACTTTTTTCGGGAAGAAATATGTTCCCTTTAGCCAATTACGCTTTCAAGTATCTCATTCAAGTTTAGAAAATTGGGTATAGATAAACAGATGGTTAAATATGCTGCATGGCTCGTTTTAGAACTCTCGTTTTACTGTGCAATAAAACAATAATTCCATGAATCTCTTCAATTGAGGAACCTTCCACGGCGAATCGCTCTAAGGTGTCTATTGTGTTCCTTTGTAGAGTATTGATATCAGGGACTAGGTGCGCCAAAGCCGGTGAGAGAGAACCCAGTGTGAGGAGAACTACGGAAGAAAACATTCTAGAATTGAAGAAATAGGTCAGTCAAGTACGCAAAAAATGATTCTCATAAAGGCATACGTATGGATAATGATCTCCGCACAGACCGACGGGTTCGTCAATCTTCGGGTTGAAGCATCCAAGTATGTACGGCAATTGGCTAAACTAGCCTCACATTGCGTGAGTACCATGGGGGGAAGGTCATTCTCTGGTGATGAATCAATAGCACAGAGGAGGAATGGTCTTGTGATAATATCTTTGGCGGAATGGAAGCGGTGGAGCATATTAAGCTGAAGACCACTGCACCGCGACGGATCATTCATGTCTGGTTTAATATTTCGCGGCAATAGTTCAAACCAGTTACTGAGTTGGCGGTCAAGTTCTTGAGAGACATTTAGGATGTTGGATAAGGACTGGAAGTCATATGAAGGACTGTCACTTGATGCAGGTTGAAGACCGAGACTACGCCTCGTCCAGTCACTTCCGTACATAGTGTGGTGTACTCTGTTTAGCAGGCGGCGTACTGAAAGTTCGGCAAGGAAAAGATGTGTCTCTTCGGCCTCGTGGTTTGCAAAACTTGGGAAGGGGGTCAGATCAATGACATGTTCAATGCCACTGCGTGGTAAGTGATGTTCTGCTATCAGATCGCTGCCAGATCAATGTCAATATAATTTTCATCTTCCAAGTAGAGCTAGGAACTAACCACTCGGTGTCGAATGCCGCCCAGGACAGTAAAATGATGCTAGACTTGAGCCCAAGGTTATCTGGTGAAGCCTGACTTCTTTTGGCGGCAGATAACTGATCAGCATAGTGCCCACGGAAAGGAGAGGGCAAACATACCGGCTATTGAGATATTGAATACTGGTAGAAGCCATATGAATCAACTTCCATGATTGCAAAGGGCGTAAAAGAAACCCGAAGTATTTTGAAACGAGTATCAAGCTCTGAGGAAGAGTTATGGTTGGACAGAATGACAGCAAGTACTCATTCATCAATATCTGCAGCGCAGGTGAGATATAATCTGCCCCTGGTACCCAGTGAGGAGACCTGGACTTTGTCGGATCCACCTGTTCGAGAGCTGCAGATCCTAAAGCGAGTATTGCAAGACACAATGCAGAATCGCAATCAACCTTGAGCCCAGCCCGAACATGGTGGTGATAAATCTCCAAGAATTGTGGCTTGTCAAGAATTGGCATTTCAACGTGCACGTGTCTGAAGTATGCTTCCACCAGTGGGTAAGAGCTCAATTCATCCAGTGCTGGCAACTGGCTCTCAGTAATTGTACCCGGGACAAAGGATAATTGGTATGGGATCTGTCGGTTTGACTCCGCGCGTATGAACAGGTCTGGTGGGAATTCTCCGAACAGAACCTTCATTTTGTTCATATGCAGCATGTACTCTGTTGTCGTTGTGTGGCCAATAGGGATACTCATGGGTGGAATATCATGTTCGGGTGGCATAAAGGAAGGCTGATTAGTACCGATAAGTCGAGAAATATCGGGATTCGGCCTTGATGGGGAAGAAATCATCAGTGAAGGTTGAGAAAAATCATTCTGATCATTTTCGGAAGTCGCCGAGGGAAAAGTGAAGCCATTGTTTCTTGCTTCGCCAGTTTGGGGTGTCGCAGGGAGACGAGACTGATTCCACAAGAAATTCTCAATTGCATCGAGACGTCCAAAGAATTCTGATGAGGAGGTTTCTCCTCTTGACCTGTTGAAATTCAGCAAATCTCCCAATTCTTCCGGATCTCGAATACTAACCTCGAGGACTCAACTTCATTGTAGATGCACTCCACGCCTGAGTCCTCGCAAAGGCCACAGGAAGGGATCCCACCATTGCAGCGGCGTTTCCTGCTTCTTCATTAGTGTATAGACAATAAATTAAGCAGGTTAAACTCACCGCTTTCGACAATGGTTACACGCTAGAGAAGCACGCTTACGGCGATCCATATGTGCCCAGCAGAGGAATGTCGACTAAGATGAGGTCCAAGTTGTCGGATGGCTCCGCCTCACTTCCGCTAACGTAATCTCGACTTGATGGATGATTCATCTCGATTTGTCTTTCTCGTGCTTTTTATGGATGTGATCAAGCTTCTGTTTTGTGTTAGAAAAGAAGTAGTTTATTTCATCGAATACTATCGGTGATCCGTCGATGGTATAACATTTTGAAACCAACGGATTGCAGACTACTCCCGCCTTGAAGATGAATTTAGACTGTAACTCATGTCAAGGAGCTCTGAACCTTTAGCTATACCAGTACCTGGACGATTAACTATACCTAAGGCTGCTGGTCTCTTGGGACAGAAAGCCTACCTGGCGCGTCGGGCCACCGCCGTCCGATCTACAGAGTGGGGAACTGTAAGAGGCAATCTCTCTGCTCGGCTGCGTGTGCTCCGTCTGATCAGTTCCCTTCATAATCCCTTGCAAGTACGCGGGATCAGAAGATCGGCTGACAGTGTTCCGAATACCTCAAGGTAATTGTTGCAGCAAAGTCGGATATTCGAAACGAAGCTGTATTGCCTCCAGATTCGGTGTCCGCATCTTGCCGCTCTGTTCCAGCGATGCTAACTTTCAATACTTTCACTCTGTCTAAGTAGAATAAGACTAGGCTCAAATTATTAGTATAATCTGACTCTAAGTATAAAAGCGGCAGCGAGGAATCTCAAATAGGCAACCCCCACCCGCGGCAATACGATACGATACACTGGACAACTTATATAGAGCTTCCCCTCTGCTATTTAACCTGCTTGCATATCCTTGTATCTCATCATCTTTCACTTGCATATCCGCCTCACCTCTCAGACCAGGATCACATCATGTCCACCGAAACTCCCTCTGGAGGGGACCGAGCCTCATTGACATCACGAGTCATTCCCGTTATGACTTTATCAGAGGGCTCCAATCCACTTACTTGCCCTCTTGATCCTGTTCCCTTCATATCTGCCCAGCAGCGGGCAGCAGCCCGATTCCAAGTCAACGGAAATGCCGTCGTCACAGGCGGGGCTGGCGTTCTCGGCTTGATCTCCGCACAAGCTCTCCTCGAACACGGACTATCTTCATTATGCCTTATGGATCTCCCAGATACACTCGCCACATCTGACGCGCAAATTCAAGCACTCGTATCAAAATTCCCTTCGGCCAACATCAACAAGATCCCTCTAGATGTGACCTCCATGGAATCCATCGAAGCCGCCTTCGAGCAGGCAAACAAAGCCATGGATGGAATCGACGTTCTCTGCTGTTTTGCCGGAATACCGGGTTGCCAGCCATCTCTCACAGTGACCCCTGGTCAGTTCAACCGAGTAATGGACGTCAACTTGAACGGGTCATTCTTCTGCGCCCAGGCCGCCGCAAAGCACATGGAAGCCTCAGGAAAAGGCGGGTGCATCTTGTTTACTGCTTCCATGTCAGCTCACTATACCAACTACCCACAGCCGCAAGCTGCATACAATGCAAGCAAGGCTGGGGTCGCGCATCTGACTCGCAACTTGTCTGCTGAGTGGGCGGTGCATGGGATCAGAGTTAATAGTATTAGCCCTGGGTATATGGATACCATCCTCAATGCTGGTGCTGGACTCGCGGATATTCGGAAGATTTGGGATAGTCGCTGTCCTATGGGTCGTATGGGTGATCCTGAAGAAATCACTGGGGCTGTTGTGCTTCTCTGCAGCCAGCGCGCTGGTCGGTATATCACTGGTGCTGATATCATTGTTGACGGTGGCACTTTGGCTTTCTAAGTCTCTTTCAAATGGTGGGAAGTGTTTGCATTTGATGGTAGATGAGATGCATAAATTATCATATTTTTCTGTCCTTCCAGTCTTCGTTTGTCATCTTGTAATTCATGTGCAGCGCAAGTCAAATTCTATGTCTAAATCTAAAAAAAAATGATAGTCCTTAAGCTTTCTCAGCTTCCGTAAAGAAACCCCCTTTACCGGCAAGTATAACCACCATCAATCCGAAGATCCGCACCAGTAGTGTAAGTACTAGCATCACTAGCGAAATACACATAGGCACCCTTCAACTCCTTGGGATGACTTTGCCGTCCCATGGGAATCAAGCTCCTCCAAGTGTCTTGCATTTCAGCAGGGCAAAAGTCGCCAAGACCCGTCTCAATATAACCAGGAGAAATAGTATTGACACGAGCAAAGTCCCTCCACTCATTAGCCAAGGAACGAGCCATATGAATGCAACCAGCCTTGGCAACATTATAAGAAGTCTGCTCCTGAGGATAATTGACAATGTGGCCGGACATCGAAGCAGTAATCACAAAGCTGCCCTTTCCACGCGCCTTGAAATGCTGACCAACAGCCTTAGCGCAGTAAAAGACAGAGTTGAGATCTGCCTGAATGATACCCTCCCAATCTTCAACCGAGCCATCGAGAACACCAGCATCAGCGGTGCGACCGGCATTCGCGATGAATGAGTCGATCTTGCCAAAGTCGGAGATGACGTTCGTGACAAGGTCTTGCACTTCGTTCCACTTGGCAGTGTCGCATTTGTAGGCTTTGGCTTTGACGCCGTATTCTTCTTGTAGGGCTTTGGCGTTAGCTTCTGCGCCTTCGCGGCGTGAGAAGTAGGTGATTGCGATGTCGGCGCCCATCTCGGCACAGCCGCGGGCTGCTTCCAGGCCGATTCCTCGAGGGCCGGAGGCACCTGTCACGACCACGACCTTGTCTTTGAGACTGAAGAGGTCCATGAGGGAACTGGCTGCGGGGATTTCGATAGGCATGGTTGTTGTATAGGGAGAAGAGGATCGGACAGAAATAGAAAGAAGTTGAAACGTGAGATTCTGTTGGTATTATCTGAACAGGGATGAGGAAAATCACATACCTTTTATATCTTTCAATTGCTCTTAGAGGGGCACAATGCGACGGTGAACTAACCTCAATATCTCTCTACAAATCTCCACCCGGCGGAACATAGGCGGCTTCGTCCCGCCAGGTACCCACACTGGGTTCAAGCACTATAAGCCTCTGCCAATCAAATACACAAGGAAACGAATGGGTATCGTCACCTTCAGACTTGAAAATAATAGCTTTACCCCGAAATTACCCACTCACTGTGGAGTCACACGGAAACGCGCTACGAGTGGATGACCTCAATAAAGAGAATGTTAATATTGAAATCAAACAAAACAACAGATCAGAAAATAGCAAAAGCATTCGGCGGACTAGCGACACCGCCAACAACCTAGAGGGAATTAGCAAAACCCAACGACAAAGATAAACAGATAAACTTACCTTAAGAGGCATACTTGACAAGAAGAAACTATACCGCCCAGTCTCCTTACAATGCCTAGACAACCCCTCCAAATCAAACATCTCCCCAATAGGAGTACCCCATCCAGCAAGCACCCACTCATGCAAATTAAAGTCCGAATCAGCATGCGCACCGCGAATAGGCGCCCGCTCAAAGCTAGGCGCATCACCCGCAACAGCAGCGAACTGCTTCTCCCACAACCACCGCACCATCTCCTCCGTCGCCTCGACGCCATTGAAATCTGGAGATGGGCGAAGCGCCAGCTGCTTGCGCTGATCGTTGTTTAACTTGTTATATGCTTCTGTGAAACCGCTGCGGATGAAGAGGACGTCGCCTTTTTGGAAATTGAGGTTGTGATCTTTCGCTACTTTTTGTAGGTTTTCTAGGGTTATGGCTTCTGATGTGAGGGCTGAGACGGAGATTGAGTTCTTGGAAGCCCATTCGGCGTAGTCGAGGAGGATCCCGCGGCCTGTTATACCGCCGTGGTCACATATAGCTGCGCGGGTTGAGTTGTTAGTAGTCAACTTAAGTGATTGATGAGGATATGGTGCATACAGTGAATGCCAATTGTATCTGAGCTTTGAATCTCTTCTGCGGTATGCCCATTATAGAACTGTCGCGACTTCTGGTTTGCTATAAGACCGAATAGTTAGCAGTGGCAACAATCGTCATAGATAGCACCAAGCATAACAAACCATAATGCCTAAACCCATCCCATTGAGTAGATCCCTGGCTATTGAACGTCAAAATATCATCAAAGATACAATTAGGAGTCCGAAGCACGATTTCCTGCTTGAATGGATCGCGATTGAAGCTAGGATGCGAAGGCATGCTCAGCGGCCAGTCGAGTGAGATCCGCACGCCTGTTCGAATTTCTTTCGCGGCTTCAACTACCCGTTCGGGGGTGAGCAGGTTCAATGTTCCCAGTTGGTCATTTTCGCCAAAGCGACCCCATGCATTACCTCGAGGGCCTTTCGGGTCCAGTGGAAGGGCTTCGAAGGGAATTGGTGAGTCGTCTGTTTTGGTCATGGTGTTGGTCTTGGGGGTGCATAAGTCTAAGTTTCGGGGAGGTAGCAGGTGGATATAGACACGTATCTCTAGTTGAACATGAATTGTTGTTGAATTGTTGCGCCTCGGTGTATCTTTATGCGCTCATCCCGAACCCCCACATCCCCGGATCTCCGCAGTCGGATAAATATCCGATGGTCGGTGATGCTCCTCCGTACATTTAAGCATTTTAGACTATTCTCGAAACTTGCGAATATATTATATTCAAAGTGGATAAGTGACTATATACACAATAACTCTACAGAGTAAAGTATGCAATAGTGGCAGCGTACGTAGCCAGGTTATCACTAACCTTGGCCAATGCAACACCATCCTTCACGATCATATACTGTGTGCCAACAGTACTGAGTGCGTATACCACCAGTCCACTCGTGGTACCTTCGATACTAAATATCATGCTCTGACAGTTCTCGGGCAAGGGGAATGTGGAGCATGTGGTGCTGTAGTTGTTGAAAAAGCTGTACAGACCTGCTCCGTAGACGATGACATTTGTGCTGTCGAGAACCCGGAGGCCGAGAGCGTTGCAGTTTCCGCCGAGGCATGAGCTAAAAGTGGGGTCTCTGAGAGCAGTGTTGGTGGGGTATGGACTGTTGGCGGCATTGGGGTTTGGTTGGTAGTATCTGTATCTTTAGCATTGCATTCACATATCTTCAGGCAGGGGACTGTAGCATAGATAGAAAGCACTTACGGTGTTTCTGTCTGGATAAATCCGGCCACTATAGAAGTTGCACCGGAGAACTGATACTGATACAGCGAGTGATGCTCGGAACCAGTGCCATATCTTGTAACGAGGTTAGCAATGAGACCCAAAGATTGTGGGCTTCATATGAATCACTTACAGCCAAACGTTCTTGCCTTCCACCAACAAACCACGTCCTGTATAAACTGAAATCTGAATATCGTTCCCAGTATCAAGATCATGGTCGGCGGTCCAGAGCCACACATTCTCCAGATAGACACCACTCGCAACGCTGGTAATATGCATGGACATATATGCAGCCTCACAAGCGGCGGAGACAGCTGCTGAAGTTGGACACTGAGGAACCTGCTGCTGAGATCCCTTGAAGCCACCGATGCGAGTGTGTACATCCCACATTCCAGACCCTGACGTGGCAGCCAAGTTCCATTCAACCATTTTAGCGCCTGGTGTTGAGCCCTGGGTGCTGAGTATCATGTCGGACCATTCCACCGAGCCAGATTCTCCGGACTTGCCGATTTGGATGACAGGAACGGGGTTTGTAATGCTGGACCATGTACTCCCGCTGGCCATGATGACCGGGAACGCCTCGCCGACAATCTTAGAGCCAGGGGGAACGTAAAGGGTCTTGGTGACCTTGTAGGTTCCCTGGTCAAAGAATAGAATCTTGCCGGAAGACGCGGCAGACGTCAGGGCGGATTGGATGGCAGCCGTATCATCAGTCGAGCCATCTCCCGTAGCACCCGCGTTTCTGATGCTGACAAAAGAAGAGACTGGTGACTGAGAATACTGAGGCTTGGTCTTGGTATAATACTTAGTTGATCCACTAGCGAGCAAAGCACTGGGACGTGTTGGTGGCGTAAAAGAGCCCTGGAAATTGTTCGGCCCATTAGGTGTATACTTGTGTCCTTGACCCCAGGCACTGATAGTAGTTGAGCCTGTGGTGCCGGCAAGAACAGTGCCGCTTGCGCCCTTGACTGCAACAGGGACATTGTTAAGGACGATGTTTTCCAGAATGAGACTTCCAGTGGAATTAGTCGAGCTTTGCCAAGCGGTGGTCACAAAGGTCGGGGTGTTTTGGATAGTGCTGTCAATGACAATTACCGAGCCAACTAGTTGGTTTCCAACACCACCATTGCTGATTGAAATAGCAGTGCCGCAGTTGATAATGACGAGACCTTGATAAGTCCATCCCCAGTCCCAAATCTGAGAGATTGCAGTTACTGCATTCTGGATGATCATGTTCCGCATTGTGAATTGCTGGTTGCCGACATTGGCTCCATAGAGACCACCAGTAATGGTAACATCGGTCAAGAAGCCCCCGGAGCCTGGTTTATATTAGACAATTCAAGAGATTTTGAATTTGAACATACCATTCTCAATAAATATACCCTGGTGTTGAGTCCCAGAAGCCGAGCTCATCACGATTTGGACATTCTGAATGCTGGTAGCTTGACCAGTCGGCCAGTGAATACCAGTTGCGGCAGTGCCAGCAGGAATTGAAGTCAAGTCCAGTTTGAAATTTCGAATCTGTCTGAAGAACACATTTGTCGATATCCAACCCTGATTCCCATCGTTTTGGTATTGGTCACCATCAATCAGGCCCAACCCGGTGAAGCCTGCAGTTGCTTTTAGAACCGGCATGGCATTCGCATTACCAATAAGCTGGGTAAAATAGTAATCAATAATTGATGTTGAGATCAGGTATGTTCCAGAGGGGAAGTAGACTATCGCGGGAGTTGTAGTCGAGGTCTGTCTGCCAGCCGGGCCAAAACGACCACCAGCGCTTATGGCTGCGTTGATGGCTGCAGTGTCGTCGGTGACTCCATCACCTATTATGGTTGTTAGTGACCGGCATAGCTGGATGGAATCATGACCATTGGGTGCTCACCCTTGGCTCCATAATCTTTCACATTGCGGAAGACGGTGTAGCCAGAGGGGTTTGAGTTGAAGGCCGCTTTTCCTTGGTGAGCAATGTCTGCCAGCCAATATCCAGTATCTGCAGCTGCAACGGCAGCTGCAGCTTCGACGATAACATCCTGAGCTACTGGGGCAACTGACTCCACGGGGGCTGCAATCGAGGCAATTTCCGTGGGAGCATCAAAAGCAGTATATTGTTCAAAGGGGCGCATAGCCTCACTGATCATATCGTCCATCTCGGGGATCTCTAGCAGCTGCGCATTGACACATGCCAGCAGCGAGAGGGTGGTGATCACAGTAGCACAATACATCTTTACCTTCAAGCACTGGGAGTGCAAGTCCGTGAGAGATAGGATGCGGGCCACTAAGAAAAGCGCGGGGGAAATCACCGGGCACACATGCCCCCTTATGTATGGCCATATCTCGGACAGGCTAGAACAGACTCAATCGGAGACGCGATCCAAGAATGCACCACGCGTGACAAAAAAGGAGGTGGATCCTCTTCCCTGCAGCATGCTCAGTGCCGAGGGCCAAGAATCCCACCCCGAGATACCACTCGAGTCTAAGAAATAGATTGCGAGTGACGGTATACAGGGGTAACCATTGGCAGAGCGCCATTGTCTGAAGAAGACCGTCAAATTGTCACGCCGTCCACTTGCCTCATGATGCGCAAGTGGAAATGAGTAGTGAATGGCGCCGATCTTTCCCCCCACAAAAAGATCTCCCCTGTCTCTCTAGCTGCATGTCAACCAATAGTCAATCAGAGCCACACATCACATTGTGCAGCAGATCAAGCTAAATTGTTAGTTGGGCGGGACATTTCCGAATAGGAATGGAATGTGACTAGTTGCAGGAGTTATTGCAGCCACATTTGAAGAAATGTGACTCAGGGGTCATGTCCCGTGTGACAGACAGGGAGTTCAATATTCATATTCATGTATAGTTTCCGTCTCGGACCTATGTACTTGATTTCTACTGCCACTTCTTGGCGTTCTCTTTCCGTATTAGTGCTCAGACCTTGCCGCTTTTTGCTCACTGAGTACAACTGAGCACGCCCCTGAGCGCCCTGATCCGCTCACTGAGCATTACATAAGCGCTCTGACCTGCTCACTGAGCATGCTCTGATCATCACGTGAGCGCTCTGATCCGCTCACTGAGTCTGAGCAGAACTTGGGGTGAGCAGCCTGAGTAAGCTACGTCAATAAAATGCAGCACACTAGCTCCATCACGTGTACCCCCCTTTTTAGATGGCACCCATCGTCCCATCAAAAAAAAGGCAGGAATTAAAATGTGATACTCAATCCTGGTAAAATGTCTGCAATGAATTGCGCCATAATGGAGCTTGCTATTTGGCCCACCCAATCAGTATTACCGTTCTACGATCGATGCTCCTAGGAATACTTTGGCTTCTCGGTCCGGCCATTTCCTAACCAGGATTTGAAGGATTACCGGAGCCAGGAGTTTTGGTTCAGCCTATTTGGAGATCCCCAACGTGTCCTGGCACAGAAGCTAGCAGAGATGATCGTCAAAATGTGGCGAAAGAGGACCGCTTCTCTGCCAATAAACGCGTGCACCCAGACTTCTATAAGCAATCGGATATCTCTATGAGGCTCCAGATATAGTGCTCCTGGTAGCTGGCCGTAGACTCTGCAATAGCTTACGAAAATGTCCGGAAGCCGACTTGATAATTGCAGCTATCGTTTGAGCTATTTTTCCCTTATTCGCCATATCACAATATTTCCAGGAACCCGGAACCTTTACCGCCCTCTATGTATACAGGACGTTCAATCATGTGAGCCTTACGCCTAAGCCGGGAGAACCTTGGCTCTAGAAGACGTTGCGCGAGGAAGTAAACGAAAGGAGCCTCCGTGTTCTAGAAAATCCTATGTGGGTCACTCATGGCGCACATCCTCCACTCCTCATGTATGTCGTGAGATATTCATAGCCCTTTGGAACGAACTTTGTTCCTAGGAGTCTGCCATGCGCCCAGCCAGACCCTGTTACACAAGAGACCCAGTTACACGTCCTAGGAACTCAACTCATATCCACAACCCCTTATGTTGTGACTATAGACGTGCCAAAGGATATCAAAGATGCTACTGTATAAATATAATACAAAGAATACCCATCTCTATCATTTACAATCTTCTAAAGTCTTGGATCAAAAATACCATATCTAAAGACAGAAACAGCAATTACTCCTCTTTGCTATGGTGAGTCTGCCTATATTGACTAATTGTGACATTCATTTAACAAATTCGCTACCTATAGTTTCCCAAACGCATGATGCCCGACCTGACAAGTACTAGTGCAACTACAGCCTAAGTTGCTAAAGCTACACAGCGTGGCGTGCATGCTCTATTAGAGAATATTCAAGCTAGTGGGCGCACTAGCAAACTCCTGAATAAAATTGGTCGTCAACTACTTTCCGTCAAAAAGCGATTGGAGAGTATTACATCAGAGGTAGAGGGTACATATTCTTGTGGTATCAGACTCAGTTGCAAAGTCCACATTCATCTTCGGGCGGCAATTTCGAACACCCAGGATACATGTGAAAGGTTTTTGGGTACATTCAAGGAGTGGAAAGGTCACTCGTCCTCGCTCTATTTGAACGAATCGAATTCTGGTAGCTTTGATATCTTCGAAGAAACGGAATTGCGGCTATTCAGCGAAAGCCTGCAGATGTTAGAACATACAATACTCATGGCAGAGGAAAACTCGGTGTGAGTGAAAAATGAAGCCTTAATACTCGATCGGCCGTCAATATCTTATTATTTCACCAGATTGGATAAACTCTCTATTCCAAGAGCTTTTTCCGACGTGGAGTGGACCTCAATAATGTCCAGAGAGAATGAATTATTTTCAGCAGCGATCGACATGAATCGGAAGCAACATGTGCTACAGGACCGACGATTGGCACTTAAACGCATCGCTCGTGAATCCGAAACATACGAGATTGGGACGCAATACCATCGAAATGTCATTGGTGAGCTCTTGTCTGAGATCAGTCGCTTGCGCAATGGACAACCAGTCTATACCGAGGATGAAGACCAGCTTCCTATTGATGCTATCAATGCAATGACCGGTAATTACCAATGCCTGCAACGCGATGAAGCCCTTCATAGGGGCGAATCCCCGATACCCATTCTTTGGCGAACATGAGACACCCTTACCCTCTCTCCGAGTTTCCTTCCGCCTTACATGTATGTCAACCAGACAGCTGGTCATATCCATGGCAAGACAAACTCCAGCGACATTTGGAAGTTATTAGTGTGAGATTCTCAGCAGTCAAGTTGTATATCTAATCGCATGCGTATTATCGCAGCATAAAAGTATTTCTAACATCCCCCCTCACTGTCCCTTTTGTCAAAGATAAACAATGCTAGCATTGTCTATATGATAGCCTCACACTAGGGCTCCTCGGCTCACCACGGCATGGTTGAATTTGCTGAATTTGGTACTCCGAGCATAGTCGCGGAATAGTCATCTTATACTGATTTGAGCATGTCCTAGACGGTGGGTCGAATAGATAAATGTTTGGCAGATGGCCCATTGATCGGTAATATATTTATATGTTAGTTTTGAGTGGGAATTCCGTTACACGGTATGTACTGTATTGTACTTAGGGCGGATATTTGACCGCACAGCCACAGGAATTACGGCAAGCCACAATTGCGGAAATCTAAAACACGGCGAAGGTATGTTCGAAACAGGTATGTTTCAGTCGTGAACCATTTCCCCGTATGTTTGAATGACATGCTTGGATCACTATGAATTCCATTTGGTCAATACTTGTGTAATAGTACTGTACATGGAAGTTCCAATCTTGCTCCAATTTATTCTGTAATGGCTGGAAGCTCGTGGGCAAGATGATAGTTCAATCATATGGTTGTGAGTAATAAATGGCTGTATTGTCTTGGTATGCCCAACAGCTTTGATAAATTGAAGGGGCTTCGTTGCATAGATGTTCAGAGAGATAAGTAAAACCGATTGCTTACGCTGGTTCATTAACATTGAACGTGCCAAAAAAATATGACTGGGGCACGTAATTGATGGATTCAGTAGAGTAATGAATTGGAGGAGTAATGAATTGGAGGAGTAATGAATTGGAGGAGTAATGAATTGGAGGAGTAATGAATTGGAGGAGTAATGAATTGGAGGAGTAATGAATTGGAGGAGTGATGAATAGGGAGGGTGATGAATTGAGGGAGAGTGATGAATTGAGGGAGAGTGATGAATTGAGGGAGAGTGATGAATTGAGGGAGAGTGATGAATTGAGGGAGAGTGATGAATTGAGGGAGAGTGGTGAATTGGGAGGAATATTTCAGTGACATCTACGTTGAATCAGCGAGACTAGCACTACAGCTTGGACTATATCGCCTGCAAAAGGCGCACTTCTGCCTTGAAAGAAATTATAAAAATGAACTCCCTACAGTATCGCGGCTCGCAGTTTGGTACAGTAATTTCATACTGTAGCTTATGCAATACTTCACCTACACATCGAAATCATGCGTCTTGAAGCCCCTTTGGTCCTTGGAGTAGCCATGTCAGCGTCTGCTATGTGGTCAGTTACCTACTATACCACACCCCATTTTTCAGACGCAGTTAAGGAAGCCGGAGGTCTCCAAGCCGGCTGCAGAACCCTGGATAGCGGCACCGGGTCGGTCACGGTCTCTACCGATATTGAAAACAACATTACCTTGAGCACGGATAGCAGCTGCAACCCTCCTTACGAGGATGCTGCTCCAAGTGAAGTAACCGATTACTGTGTCAAAGCATGCGGTATAAGCCTCCAAACTCATTACTGAGGTTCTTGTATCCAGGTATCTTCGCTGCCCGGTGGTTAGCACTTAACATCGGCCTCTTGTTGAAGTGATGCTAATAAATTGTTTTGCTTGCAATAACTACTTGAGTTTTAAGGAAACGCTGGTAGCTCTAATGCCTTTCTTTGTCATTCTCCCGATTTGGATCAGAGGTCTAAAGGAGGTTTGCATGGACAAGAAAGTTTGCCGAAGATAAAAGCATTCACTGGTAGATTGACATCCTCCAGCCATCTCCCGGGACGGAATACATCTGGCTAGTCTTATACTGCGTCGTCAATGCTTATGCTCCAGTGATTGGCGAGAATTACTGCTCCATTTGGGATATGATAGCCCAGATATCCGTCATCATGGACGACGGCATGCGGCACTCCCAGCGGCATAATGGGCCGCCACTGCATCACTTCCAACACAAAAGCATCCACATATGGTTGTCTGATCGCATATTTGAAGCTTGGAAGACGGTCGGCACCACCACAGCTTCGAGCTCCTCTTGTGCACGATGTACAGCTTCCTTGTGAAGGGATACACGCCATTACGAAGAACTGGAGCACTTTGTCGGTGGTATCGCTAGCCTCTAGAGTGGATTCAAGAATGAAGGCCAACTCTCGTCTTGTAAGTTGATGGCGCTCATCTTTCAATCGGGAAATAGCCTTGGCCCAGTTCCACGAATCTTGCGAAACCCCATGCCATAGTAGGGATTCGAAAAGATCAACCGACTCAGCGAACAGGTTGCCCCCATATTCTCCACGGGCAAGGACGTGGGGAAGCCATTCCAACATTGGGAATACTCCAACCCGTTAAATAAATGGGCCTATGGATGTTCTCTGCCACACTGGTTGACAGGGAATTGATTCCCTCAATCAGGCTATCCCTCACCGTGCCTATGCGCCTTCAGTATGCCATGGTAAGGGTAACACTTTAAGTGTATCTGTAAATCTTAGCTTTGAAGCCAATGTTGTCTAAGTTGGGGAGATCGTGCAAAAGTTGTCGACTTTACATGCTAAACCTAAGCCATGACTTGGTTGCAAGCCGTAGTGTCATATTCAGCAACGCCATGCTAGTGGAGCTTTATGAGAGGTTTGGAGTAGTGATGATTGGATCGGAAATTAAAACAAAAAAAAATATCAACTAGGAATTCCAGCGGCAGATATTATCACATGGTAGATGCTGGGGAGTCTACCTTAAAAATAGGGTCTCGTCGATATCTCAACGCCAAGGTATCATTCAGATCTCTCGCCCATCAAACGAGAGCGAAAGGTAATTCATGATACTGTGTTGCAAAGATACGCGTAAGTTGGATGACGAATTAAAAGACAATTCAGCTTTGACATTATGCTACGTGTACCGAGTAACCAACTTCATTCAAGGCCTGTTTCTCCATCAGAAACACAATTCGGCAATTACAAAGAGACCTCCAGTAAGCTTACAGTGAAGCCACATTACACTAATTTGAATGCCTCTCCGCCATAACGAGACATGACAGTCGACACAAAGACATTACCACTCATAACATGAAGAGTAGCATCAATGAAGCGCCATTCCTCCGCAGTTAACTCATCCATGTCGACCATTCGCTGAATCTCCGCGTCAATATCAACCTCGATCTGTAACTGAAGAGCTTCTGTAATAGCTACAGCTGCCCGATCCGATGGAAGATGGAAAAGATTCTTTACGACATCAACCGCATTGATGAGATAAAGGACTTTTCCAGAATCGTACGCCCTTTTTCCTTTTCCCATGAGCCAAGGTCATTAGCCACGGATACGTGATCCTTCAGCAAGCGAAGGTACCGGGACAAGCGGGGGCTTTCCAGGTCGACGGAGGAGTTGAGGGCAAATCTCGTACAACCCAAGACATAGCTATATGTGGTCAGCCAGGAAATGCGGGAGGCGATATGATAGACGCATAACTTACGGAACCGCAGCATCTTCATGTCGGTATAGTAGAAATTCCTCCATATCATTGTATTTTGCTGGTGGTGGAGGTCGAGTAAAAAAGCGGATCATCAGGTCAATCATGTCTTGACCAGCATTATTCCCGCACTCACGGTCCAGCTCCATTATCTCTTGGATTGCTTGGTCAATCATCGACTGAAGAATGGTTCTGGGTTTATCGTCGCCGTTGAAGTCGGGCTTCATGCGGGACACGAACTCTTCCTGCACGGAAGTAAACTAAAAGAACAGTTAGCCGGAGCTTATCAAGGTGTAATGCTTTATATGTCCATAGGAGTGTATGAATACCTACCGAGCTGGTCTCATGCATCTCCCAAAAATCTGCGCAATAAAAGTGAGTTTTTGGTGAGAAGAAATGACCGGGACGAACCCTTATGACGATACAGTGAAGTTAGCTTACCATCAAAGACAAAGATAAAGACATTCACAATAGCCAACAGACGAGTCCGCTGCGGATCACCCTCTGTGAAAAGATAGGTTGGAAATTTAACCCAACCCTCTTCCATGTTAGAACGCAACTCCTGGCGCGAGATCTCCGCAATCGAGTGGCCGGACTTGAACAGCTTCTGGGCGGTTTCATCGGCCGCAAATAATGCCAAAAAAACTCGTGTCGTGTCAAGTGTCAACTGCCAGTACTTATTTTGGCGACAGGACAGGATTCCTGTTGCCCAAGGGAGTCCTGCCTTGCTAGGCGATATGTCGATTGCGTTCGAGCTGCGCTCTGTGGGTTGACTTTCAACATCGTCTGAGAGGTCTCTGCCCATGCGCAACAACTGTCCAGATAATAGGTAGTCATTCAGGCGCAGGACGGGTAGTCTGAGGTAAGCAACTCCGCCGTTGAGGTAGTCATAGGCGTAATAAACGGGAAATTGGTGGTCATGATCGATGGGAGACGAGAGTCCCTCTTGCCACACGAGTGATGATTAGCAAGTGTGGTCGTAGGATGATTAGGGTTCTACTACAGGGTACGTTACCTTTGACCGATAAAGCCGTGTGAATGCCATTTTTCATTGTTACTGGTGGAATGTTGTAAGCAATTGGCTGCAAATAATACAAATTGCTGTATATGGGTGGCTGTTGAAGGTAGGAACGAACGATGCGAAGGCCTATGTCGTGTACTGATTCCCACAGCTCCTCAATTTTGTGGCATGATTCGCACTATATGTGGAGATCGTACCAGTGTAATATATAAGCTTTAGGATACACATGCTAGCTTGCTCATTTTTGATAATCTGGACTTGTGGTCTTCATTGCAGGGCGTGGTTATGCAGCGGTCTGCTATTTCACCGACAATTTGGGCGATCATTACGATAAGTATTCAACTTGAAGTCGATCGTACAAGTCTAGAATCGCTGGAAGACATGATTAGGTACCACAATAGAAGAGTGGAAGGGAAGAAATGGGAGGAGGCAAGGAAGCGGAAATATGCGGGAATTTGAGTTAGGTTGCACAATTAGTCCTAATTAAGGAGGATAGTCGTCAGAATCAGCAGATAGTCTGGCTAACTTTGCACCAGGCGGTGGCTAACTATGCTCTAACGCAGGGATGGAACTCGTAGTGATACGAAACTTCGCGAGGTGGCAGTTATTGCCTTGTCACCGGCAACTATACGGCCAACGCAACTACACAGCAGGAGTGGAGCCTAAGCATCTAACTAACTAGTATCGTCAGTGTGCGCACCGATACCAACCATGAATGGCTCCAGCGATAGACCAAATTCCCCAATCCAGCATGCAACTAAGTGCGTGTTAGCCACTATGTTGAGATACCAGCGGTGTGGATAAATCGGGTGCTATGTTGCTATGATATTATATGAAAACAACTATTAGCTGCAGATCTGGTCCACACCACCACATCGGCATGATTGAGGATTTGGTAAAATAACAGAGGACATCGGCAAGAGGCTTTTGTGTCAATCGAAGGAGTTTACTGGCATGGGTTGAGTGGTACGTGGAAGGCCAGCAAGGTAAGGCATTTAGTCGAACATAACATCATCCAACCCACGCATTGACCGCCGTGCATGCTTGCCGCATCGCCGTCAGCTTGTATGAATACCTTGAGGCAAAACCAAAACCGCTTTGCCTTTTTCCCATAAACTAAAATCAATTTGGAAATACAGAATCCTGGGACCTAAGTCGATATCAAGGAATAAATAAGGATTGACCCAAACAGACGAGCTGGTTCCAAAGGTGCTGGGGCATTGCTCCAGTGGGTGGATAATTGTGACTGATACTCGCCCCAGTAAATGCAAGTGACTTGGTCGTCCTTCTTGGCAGAGTCTGCTTATTGGTGCTATCGTTGCACCAAAGTGAATTTTGAGACCCAGTTCTTGTTTTTCTGCAAGCATTAGCTGATTGAAACGCAGTGTACGCAGTTTGAGAAGAGACCAGCTCAACAAATTATCCATTCCCCGCACGTTGTTGAGTAGATCGATAAATGGTAAATAAAGGTGAGTGGCTGAAAGGTTTGCATTCTACCTGGCATGCGGGTTAATGTGGCACCGTTCCATTTTCGCTTGGGCTGGAAAGTACTCAAGGTCATGTACGCGCATCAGCTTTGTAATTCCGATTCCCGCTCGGAAGAGTCCTCTCCGGTGGATGCAAACGTACTTCTGTTTGACTTCGTTTGGTTGGATTTGGTGGTCGATAATGGAGTTGTGTCCTTGCAACTAGTTGATGACTGCATGGCAGTAGTAATACCCAGTCTCCTGGACATTTGCTTTCGAGGCCCATCAATCTGCAGTGGCCCCTTAGTAAGTGATGGCGGATTTTCTTTTTCTCTTTTCTTTTTCATGTGACTCTTTTATCGTGCCCGTCAATAACGGGCCTCGCAAATAGGTCAGCCTGGTTTAATACAAACCTTAAAAAGGGACTTCATAATTCATACCAGATCCCTTATCATAGATTAGACATTTCAAGTTTTTTGAGCTTACTACATGTACATCTTCTCGCGATGCAGCGAGGGTTACACCGCTATATTAATGCCCATTTTAGCATTGAACAACGTCACAGAGCCATATGACCCTTGATTAAGCGCAGTAGATATATGCACACCTGCTTGCCTCTACAGCCGCCGAGCATACATGAGTTGGGAGAAAAATGACCTGGCGCTTAAGGGATAAACAACAAGTCCTCGATCTGTACTGAAAGTTAACAGCGGCCCAGTCTCCTGATACCAAAAAAGAGGAGAATTCTAGGGACCCTTTCCGGAGCACGATGCATATGACTGAAGATTGCTGCATTTGCAGTGCAGGTGAATATAACCGCACCATTTCTAAATACTCAACAAATAACCAAGGCGCTGCGCGTGGAGCGGAGACGTCGAGATGATTTGAAGTTGCAATTTGAAGCTCAATCTGTCAATATACATAATTTGTCAAGTTAAAGTAGGTTGGACTCATTTAATTACGCAGGGGCATGGAAAAACTATATACGGCTCAATAGGCGAATGTGAGCTTTGAAATAGCTCCATCGACGAAGACCTTACAACACATGTCGATCTTTATACAAATTGGAAGCGACATGAACATTCACCTTCATACGCATTAATCGCGCAAACCTTGCAGACCTAGCAGAGCTAGAAACATACTTAAAACTCGTATGGGGCCACACATTGGAAACTATATCAGAAAGTAGATAGGTACTACGACAGTGACGGGGTATCTTCGGTAATGCTTCGTAGCTGAGGGGATAGAATAAATAATTAGTTTGGTTACGGACAAACATTTAGCCTAGGCATGACTATAGGAGAGCATATCGCGGGAAAAGCAAATGAGGATCCGCAGGGCACACTGGCGTCCAGCATTGCTTATGTGCTGCACGAGACGTGCCCATCATGATATTCACCGACCTCTCAGAAACAATGTGACCTGTATTGTGATCTGCAAGTTACACACTCCTAATTTGTCATCTGGCTGTCCTTCGTTCTTGTTCACCTCTCCCAGCCATCCGTAATGTTGATGGGACACATTGTATCCGCTGGAAATTACGAACCTTTTTTTTTTTTTTTGCGCGCTGGTTATATACTGTATAACTAGCCTGAACGAATTGATACTGTGTTTATTCTCTTGCGCTTTCCCTTTGGCATGGTAAACTTAGTTGCGACCTGGAAGACGACATTCACAGGGTCGATAACTCTGTATTGGTGGGGAGGAAGGCTTGTCGAGCTGAATTATTGGTTAGTTCCTGTAATAGCAAAGACATGCATGAGGGGACTACATGTATGGAATCCCCTACCCCCCCCCCAAACCAAAAAATTGGCCCAGTTGCCCGCAGCCCAATCGCGAATTTCTCGAGAAATAGTAGGTTTCAGGAACTCTAATGAAAATGGGAGATAATTAAGTCGGTCTATTATAACGTCGTGAAGTTTAAGACTGAATGGGCATGATTTGAAACCTGAACCCTGGCGGGTCCCACTTTTTTCTCGCATAGTTAAGAGGAAACCCTAACCTGAACTCTGCCAGAGATTACAACCCCCCGGGTGGGGTAGGATTGGCCAGGAACGCACTCCCCTGCCTCCATTTTCGAGCAACTAAAGGAAAAAAGAGAGTAAACTCACTCGAGTATGCCCATTCCAGTGATACCAAAATGAGTACGCCATAACAGTTGTGGCGCTCGTAATTGGCGTCTTGATTTATAAGTCACGTGGCATCCGTCCGAGATTTTCGTTCGAGTTTCTATTGGCTAAGTGTATTTCGCCCTTCCTGCCACCAGTTTTCAGTATGATGAAAAGACGGAAACGGCTATAGGATTGAAAGAATGACATATTTCTAATGGTACTAAAGATATTCTCTTGGAGGCGTTGTGCTGTTTCGGTTACTAGCTGCATATTGCCTGTTGGATAGGTGTGGTATATGATTGCATTTATGCAGGTTAGATACATTTGGAGGGACTAAGCACTGCTCCATACACATTAACCCCAACTTACTAGACTAAGCCAGTCCTTTTTTGGGCCTGATCTGGTCTAGGATAACCCCTATATCTTTCTCTGCACCTGACCACATAGATTTGATTAGGCTTTCATGATCTTGACTTCGTACTGTGATGTGCGCTTCGAATGGGGATGCAACAGCCATCAATTTCTGCGTGTAACTCCACGGATCAATGTGAACTGTGTCGCCGTGTTCAGTGACCTTGTGGCGGAAATTATACCCCCAGAGTAGGCGAGCTACTGCCAGGTTTAATGAGTTTCTCGCTAGTTTTTCTCCCGGGCACGATCGTTTCCCAAACCCGAAGGATGCCAGTGAATCCCACTGAGCTGTGCGTGAAGGAGAACTATGGCTACCATTTTCGACTGCTAGCCATCTGTCGGGTCTGTACTCTTCTGGTTCCGGGAACAGGTGCTCATCGCGGTTAAGCGCCCACTGGTTGGGAATAATGACAGTCCCCTTGGGTATAGAATAACCCATATACTCATGATCTTGGCTGACAGCATGAGGCAAGCCAAGTGGGAACGTCGGTCGCCACCGCAGAACCTCCTGGACGATTGCACGGACATATGGCAGGTTAGGAAGGTCGTCAAATGTTGGTAAGCGAGTTGGGCACGATCCAACGACCTTATCGATCTCACGCTGGGCCTCTGCAACCGTTTTCGGATGCAGAACAGACGCCATGACAAAGTTTCGGAGAGTTTCTGCAGCCGCCTCGTCACCACCCGCGTGAAGTATACCGAAGATATAACTAAGTTCTTCAATATCCAGTGACTGGGCATCCCCTATGCTGGAGGCTTCCTGCACTGCATTCCAACGCCGCGATAGCGCAGCAGTGAAGAGGTTTTTTGTAAAATGGCGAAGCGCTTCTTCATGTATCTCCTCGCCCTTTCGCTTCCAAGGCGCTAGCACGCGGGGAATGTAGTCCAGCCAGGGAAACAGGTCTATGAGTATGGCGTATCTCTGGGTCATTGCATCCAGAGTAGCGTCGGCTAGGTCCCGGATTTGTTGTATTTCGCCTTGATCATGATGCTCCAGTCTTTTTCCGTAAAGGATGCCAAAGATTACACCGGAAGAGTAGCGATGGAAATGTGGAGAGAAGTCTTCGGCTTCCAACAAGTCATGCAGAAGCTGCAAACTCTCAATGTCCTGGATCTGGCGATAGCCCGAGATCATGCTATCCTTTACAGCTGCGTTCTGGATGCGACGGTGCGTTCTCCATTGAGGCCCGTAAGGAAGTAGAACGGTATGAAGGCCGCGGGACATATAGCGATTGCCATAACGATAGGCGGGTCTAGAACTGTAAATATCGGCGCGACGTTCAAGGAGGTCCTTCACTGGTTTGTGCGATCCAACAACAACAACCGTCTGGCTCCCATAACGAAGACTGTAAATTGGCCCGTATTTCTCGTGCCAGCGTTGGAACCTCAGCCATGGATTATACCGAGAGCTCGGGTGAATGTTACCAAGAATAGGCAGTTGTAACGGACCTGGAGGCAATCTAGAACGGAAGGTCTTTTGCAGAATGAAGATGACAGATAGAAAGAACAGGGTTATTGATAGCTTGTAGAGACCGACACTTATTTGTTTTATGTCACAGCAGCTGGGTTTTCCTTCGAGATCCATTGGGATGGATGCTGAGACAATGGTCGGTGGAAATATTTGCTTGGTGGTGGGGGCTCTGTCATAAAAGTAATGAATAATAGCGAGAGACCCAATAATCCAGTAGAGCTACCTCTGCGACCTTGTGACCTATCTCCTATTTGAACTCTTGTTTGAATCACTCCTTACTTCTCAACTCCTGCCTATCTGACTTGCTTGTTACGTGTACTCGCTTTCCTCCTTCTTTTCCTTGGCCTCTTTTCTCCCGTTGGCGCAACCGAGTCCATATCCTTGCACGTCGAGTAGTACAGTTATATCATATATTTCATCATGCATGAGTTCGCATGAAACACGGGATACGTCTAAAATACGAGTAGCTGTGACCAGCTCACCCCATCAGTTATCATCGAGTACACATTTCTATTGTAATAAAAATACAGTTAGTATCACCAGCTAGGTACTGTGTACACGGTTAAGTGAACAGTTTATGCCCCTAAAGCAAAATTTGAATTGATTTAAGTTGTTCATCTCTACTCAGGTCAGGTTCCAAGGTACCCCTTAATATTATACGCCGACGCTCCGCGAACACAACACGGGGACGTAGCTTCGTGCAAGAATGTGCACACCAAGCAAGGGATGTTATCTCTCGGTCGCTAGCGGTGAGTTACCGCTAGCTTCACTGACAGAAGGACATACCCCGATAAATACTTTCTGACCATAAAAGGCAAATGTGCTATACGTGCATTAACAGCAGCAATCTGCTGCTTATGCTACATTGCCCACGCCTGCCAATATACGAGACAAACCCGTGGCGAGCATCTTAGAAGACAGCTCCGTAGGGTAAAGGAGCCATCCCGCTAGACGAAGCCGTATAGATTGGTAAATCTAGCTATTCAACAGGAGGGCTAGATATAAAGGTTCAAGCACGCGGTTGCCAATGAAGCAGTAGACAAAGAATGTCTGTAACAGGTGTTTGGAATGAGACGCAACAAATTGGATTGCACATGACGAGGGAACGAAGAGAACAGGCCCGAGGCCATCCACTACGCACTTTCAGCCGCGACGCCAATGTAATGTCATAAATACGACATCTCCGGTCTAGTCCCTTTAAAGAAAACAAACACAACCAACGCAAACTGGATTCCGAATGTCGCCAGGATCATCCAGAAGGTGACCCCTCCATTCCATGCGACAGGCCCATGTTGTACGGTATGGCATGCATAGGCAGGCACCCAAGTCAATGTTAAGGCGAGATTGGTCCACGCTACCCAGTGCGGAATTGGTCGCTGGATGCGCGTATCTGAAAGGGTAGCCCAGGATATTGCGACTTGCTGGGGGATGAAGACGGCGCTGATCATGCTGTAGGTAAACAAGCAGAGATCACTCAACATCTGTGTAACTAAGGGTTCCCGTTCAAGTCGGTAAAGCATCGTGGCGGAAAATATGCCCAAGAACATTAACGTGACACCAGACACGCAGCCGGATGCGAGTTGGAGGGATAGTAAATGTGGATTGACATTAGGGATCCGGGAAAGCTGATTGTTTATTCCTACCCCGAAGAATGGCCAGGTGAAGCTGGCAATAATCAGCAGGAAGGTGCCAACACGAGCTCCCGCAAGGTTGTTGCTGTAATGTTGTGCTATTTCATGTGGTTTAAGAGTCGGCGAGATAGGTGGGAAGAGGTGTGACCCAGCGAGAAAAATAAGGATTAACATGAAGGCCAGTGGCCCACACAGGAGTAAGCATTTATCACGGGAAGCTATCGAGAACATCCTTTTGCGTAGATCCATCAAGTGGGTGATATCGGGCCGCCCCTCTTGAGCGGTGAAACAAGGAGCTCTCACTCGAACTTGAGTTAACAGTGATTGTACAAAGTACCACCCGAGAAGTATTTGGGACGGGGAGATGGTCACCAACGAATGCCACTATATAATACATTCGGTTGACTAGTTACTCTGTAAGAAATAAGGCAGCTAAATAAGAGGCAACCTCATACATAGCAGTCAACGAGCAAATTGAGGTTGCACGTGCACCCCATGCAATAGTCTCACAGAGAGGGGAGCGTGCATTCTTCATGTTAAAGGCACCCCGCATTCAGCATGCATCTGACGACCACTGTTCTTGCATAACCAGACGTTGTTAGTGATCGTCTTAGATGTGTATTCTATTTCCCATCACGAAACTACCGTCTTCACTTGCGAACGCCCGTCGAGAAAATTTCTTGGCAGTAGATATTAGCTTGGAAACCGCTACTACATCAGAAGTAGCATTCAAGAAGTAAGGGAATCGCCTGGTCAAAGTAACTGGCGCGCTATACAGGGAATAGCGACACCCTTACTTCGCCTACACCGCTTGTGATCAACAGAGGAGTTGTGCTACATCAGAAGTTGCATTCAGGAAGCAAGGGAATCGCCTGGTCAAAGTAACTGGCGTGCTATACAGGGAATAGCGACACCCTTACTTCGCCTACACCGCTTGCGACCAACAGAGGAGGTACCGGCCACTTTCTCAGTACAGGACCTGTTGTTCACCTCGATGTTTAAAACCTCATTCCCACCAAGAGAGCGGCGTGGCAAGTGGTTAAATAACAGAATCGCAGCGAGGGAAAGAAAGGCTTCTCCACTTGTCACTAATTGTTCCACAGAAACAAGTCGATGAGATACGATGCGGAGCTGCATCAATAGTTTGATATCTATGATATCCGCCTCCTTTTCTTACGAGAATATCAACCTTGTGTCTTTAAAAGTGCAGAGTGCTTTGTTTCTCCTCTTAGCATCGGCCATATACTTGACGATCATCAAACGATCGAAAAACGGAATTTTACCACCAGGACCCCCGCGACTTCCCTTACTGGGCAACATCCACCAGACGCCTACAAAAGACATATGGGAGACTTACCGTCAATGGCACAAGCGCTACGGGCCAATTATAAGTCTGAGATATGGAACGAAAACAGTCATCAGCCTTGGTTCCCATCAAGTCGCCAAAGATCTGCTCGACAGGCGAAGCGCCAATTACAGTTCTAGGCCGCAATTTATCGTTGGCAATTATTTTCTGAAAAACCTCCACATCGCGCTCATGCCTCATTGCCCAGCATGGAAGACCCAACAAAAACTTGCAAAGGGTCTCCTGAACTCTCGCATGGCGCAAATGTACGGCCCACTTCAAGAGCTCGAGAGCGCACAGTTGCTTCAGGAGTTCGCCTCTGCTTCGGTGGGAGGAGGGACCGTCAATTTTACGAGAATATTCAGACGCTACACAATAGGAGTTACGTTTCTCCTGTCCTATGGCGAGCGAATAAGCGATCCGTCTGACCCTCGGCCCGAGGCAATTGAAACTATGATAGATCAAGTGGCAGAGAATCTCCAAAAACCTGCCAATCTTTTGGTGGAATTGTTCCCGTCCCTACAATATCTTCCAAGATTTCTATTACCTTGGAAGCGGCAGGGGGATGCCTTGCACGACAATCTCAACGTTATGTTCTTGGGGATGTTCCGACATGGTGTACGAGCAAAACCTTGGAACTGGAGTAAGCATCTGATCACTCTGGATGAGGCCCAGTCGTTAAGTGAGAAGGAACTTGCATTCCTATTGGGGGGTCTCATGGAAACTAGTACAACGACCATCAAAACACTTGAGTGGTTTGTCATGGCCTGTCTTTTGAATGAGTCCGCTGTGCAGAAAGCACGAAAAGAGCTCGACGCTGTCATTGGGATCAGCAGGCTACCACAATTTGTGGACGCCCATAAGTTGCCATATCTCAATTCTTTCATTCAGGAAGTTCTACGTTGGAGAGGGATCTTTCCACTCGGCGTACCGCACTCTAATCTCGAAGCGGACGAATACGGGGGTTACAGTATCCCCAAGGGAGCGACGATCCTACCGAACCACTGGGCTATGGATTTAGATGATAGGGTATTTCCTGACGCTCAGCTGTTCAATCCTGATAGGTGGGTACAATCTCCCGACCTTCCAATGTCTCACTTTGGATTTGGTCAAAGGGTTTGTCCTGGGCAACATCTCGCTCGCAAATCACTCTATATTGTCATAAGTCGCATGCTTTGGGGGTTCGAAATATCCCATCTGCACGAGGCGAGCGGCAAAAGAATTGAGGTTGATCCATACAACATGGTTCAAGGTGTGATGACCGGACCAGTGGCTTACAGCGCCTCATTCAAGATACGTTCTATGGAACATTGGCGAGTCATTGAAGCAGAATCTTCCATTCCCCATGATCTTCACCGGGAGCTATTGGATGCCATAAAAATATGAGCACTGCCGTTATCCGATATCACTTCCTAGGCTCCCTCAAAGTTCTAGTAAATTCTGTCTTAACTTTCATTCCCCTTTTGTTGCAGTGTGATCCTTTCTGTCATGCTATCTTTCTGCTTAGTACCGGCAAACAGTGGACTTGACAGGGGCCACTGGCTTCTAGTTACATCTCGGTTTCAATTTAGGTGAAAATGGAAAAGGCGGGAAAAAAACCCCATTTCCTCGATAATTATGCCTCGCTAGCTTGGCCTGCTGCTCGCCACATTTACTCCATAGCGTCGTGCGTCATTCGGGGACCAGTGAACGTTTGATGTTGCCCGAAACACTCTTCCGCTGCTCGCCCATAATACTTGAACTGTCTCAGGATAATCGATAAGTGATACCATGCCACTACCCAGAGGCACTCGGTATATAGTACGGTCGTTGGAAGACCTTTCCGTCTCCCGTTGTGCCTTCTTGGTGTGCAGATCAGCGGGAAAACGAGTGGTGACTGTGTTACATAATACCTCACAACAATCCAGATTTTGCATGAACCTCCTAGCATCAGATGGTTCAAAATTTGCTATTGGTGGAATTACCTTGCAAAATGCTTTACTCTAGTGCAGTCGTAGCTGATCTTACGAGCCCTTATCGTGGACCTCGATTTTTCCCACAGAGAATAAAGTATTTCCAGCAGCGATCGACATGAATGAAACAACATATGCTCCAAGACCAACGATTGGCACCTAAACACATCGCGCATCGCTCGTGAATACGATACAAGATTGGAATGCAATACTATCGAAATGTTCTTGGTGAGCTTTTGTCTAGGATCAGTCGCTTGCGCAATGGACAACCAGTCTATACCGAGGAAGAAGACCAGCTTCCTATTGATGCTGTCAATGCAATGACCGGTGATTGCCAGTGCCTAACACGATGAAGCCCTTCATGGGAGCGAATCTCCGATACCCATCCTTTGGCGAACATGAGACACCCTTACCCTCTCTCCGAGTTTCCTTCCGCCTCGCATGTATATCCTCCACACAGCTGGTCATATCCATGGCAAGACAAACTCCAGCGACATTTCGGAAGTTATGGGTGTGAGAATCTCAGCAATCAAGTTGTATAATCGCATGCTTATGTATCGCAGCATGAAAATATTTCCAACCTCCCCCCTTCACTGTCCCTTTTGTCAAAGATAAACAACGCTAGCATTGTCGATATGATTGCCTCACACTAGGCCCCCCCCAGCTCACCACGGCATTGCGAATTTGCTGAATTTGATACTCTAAGCCTACTCACGGATTAGTCATTATATACTGGTCTCAAAGCATGTCTTCGACGTTGGATTGAATAGACTGGATAGACTGAATGTTTGGCTGATGGCCTCTTGATCGGTAATATATTTCTGTAGTTTTGAGTGGGAATACACGGTATGTACCGTATTGTACTGAGGGCAGATGCTTGACCGCACAGCCACAGTAAATTACGACGAGCCACAATTGCGGAAATTTACACCCGGTGAAGGTATGTTCGAAACACGTATGTTTCAGTCATGAACCGTTTCTCCGTATGTTTGGTTGGCCCGCTTATCCACTATGGATTTGGTCAAAACTTGTGTAATAGTAATGTGGAAGTTTCAATCTTGCTCCAATTCATTCTGTGATGGCTAGAAGCTTGTGGACAAGATAGGTTGTTCAATCATATGGCTGTGAGTAAAATATGGCTGTATTGTCTTGGCCTGCCCAACAGATCTGATGAATTGAAGAGACTTCGTCGGATAGACGTTCAGAGAGATAGGTAAATTCGATCGCTTACGCAGGTTCATTGATATTGAACGTACCAAAAAAAAACATGACTGGGGCACGTAACTGATGAATTGAGGGAGAGTGATGAATTGAGGGAGAGTGATGAATTGAGGGAGAGTGATGAATTGAGGGAGAGTGATGAATTGAGGGAGAGTGATGAATTGAGGGAGAGTGATGAATTGAGGGAGAGTGATGAATTGAGGGAGAGTGATGAATTGAGGGAGAGTGATGAATTGAGGGAGAGTGATGAATTGAGCGAGTGATGAATTGAGGGAGTTTGCCAGAGCCAAGTGAGGTCGTCAATGGCAGCCGTCTTGATGCGTGCTCAATTTTCTCACATTGTGTAGCTTTTATATGTAATCAAATGAGGATAATATCGAAATACTGATACAGGCTGGTGTTGCCTTCCATATCAACATAATCCTATTATCCGTCATAGGACGGACTCTGACACAGTACAGTACAAGAGTCTCCTAGCGGCAGGAGTTGTTTGCAGGTAGAGTAGATCCACCCCAGCGACGTGGATGCGAATTACAGGCAGGCCCGGTGCTGTCGAGACAGATCATGAGCGGCTGCGGTAGCACTGGGCTGCGACATTAGACCACAGGCAAAGTTTACTGCTATGTCATCCGACCAACATTTGACAGATAGCAGGCAATCTCCAAATTTATGCCCTAGCCCACACTTTGTCACTACGAGATGTCCCTTAATCACTGATCACTTGTTCACTCTTGCGGACACGTCGTGAGTGCTCTGCTAGATTTCTGCTATTCTGTCTCTCCATACATAAAATGTTGCGTTGAGCTACTTAGCATTGCCACCTCACGGACTAAAGCCGGACCGAAAGCAGAATCTAACTCGATGCCACGCTAACCTTTTCGTTTTCGAGTATGACGTAGACCATTTAACTTTGTAACATAATAACCAATCATACTTGGTCCTGATCATCCTTATGATTCATCAATCTAGTTGGAGCTTATCTGAGTTGCATAAAAAATTAAACTAAGCCACCGCGATGTGTACTTATTCTATCTACACCTGAAACTAGATAAGGTCTTTCTGTGACGCGGACTAGTGCACCAATATGGAGACAATCACTGCTCAGGTTTCCTAACTTGAAATATGTTCATCTTTATTGAATTCCTATAGCGAAGCTTTCCACGATATTATTTCTTACATCCGTCAAATTCGACGTATACCACTTTTAGATGCAGAGATTAATGTCACGAAGTCGCTTGCTGAGCTATTTACCTGCGGTGGCCTATTGGTAATTATCCAAGAGCCGCTCTAAGAACATCCCTGGCACAAAGGGGCTAATGTTGTGATATCGGAGTGTCCAACATTGAGTTTATTGAGAGAAGGATTGCGGATCGGTTCGAATGATATATTGTGCTTATTGCATCATGTCTCGGTCCTCGATCTGAGGCCATTCATATCCAAGGAGCAAAATTATCGGATTCAAGGCTACCAACGTGAGAGATTGTACAAACTCCTCATAGCAGCCATCAATGCGAAAAAGCCAGATGTTATTCTATGCATGGGACAGGTAGGTTAGCTATAACTGGTGTGATCCATTCGAAAGGTCATCTCATCTTCTAAAAGGAACCAAGGACGATTCTGACGGATCGCCATACCCACCTCTCGGACGACTTCTGGAAAAGTGCCAAGTGGGTCAACACTATGCACCTAAGCCACTCTGTTAATTACCACGAAGGCGATATTGAGAAACGCACCCGGCTCCTCCGTTCAATGACCCAAGCTTATCGCAATTTGCGCCTTGCGGATCACGTAATGCTCTTCACATATATCACATGCGGTAACCGTAATGAGGTCTTTAGGCCCCGGCAGCTAGCTGAGAGCCAGAGGGATACCAGATGGGTCGAAATTCTCATTTAGGCCCTCATGGAATTATGTTTCCGACCGCGCCATCGCCTTCCAAATTCCAGTCTCTTGACCAACGGCTTTTACCAGCTCGAAAACTGGCACAATAACTACTTCGCGCATGTACTAAGTCTTCCGAGCGCAAAATTGGACCAAGCGGAAAAGATCGCAGCCACTATAATACCTTTGTTCAACCCATAACCTTCATTGTAAAGTATGTCATCAGCGGAATAACGACAATATCAAATACTTCCTGCCCGAAGTCGCCGTAGGTCGTTAGGAGCGGATTGGGGTGGGTAGTGAGATGGTGGGTACGGTGGTACTTCCATAGCAGACCAACGTCATGCAGTAGCCGGTGATACCAGTAGTACCAGAAGTCCAGGATAATACCGTAAATTCCAATCTCTAGAGGCAGCCAAGCGAATCTCATAGAAATGGGCGCATGGCTAGTATGGTAGGCGAGGGAGACGGTGAAGATAGGGCGGATGGTCGCGAATATGAGGAAGGAGGCAACCTGAGCGATGCCGACGTCAGGGACGCTGTCGCGGGCATGCCTGTAGCCATCGAAGAAGCCGTGAATATGGCCCATGCGGCGGAAGACGTGGAATTGATGAATATTAATAAGCTGAAATGCTGTGCTGTAGAGAAGTATGGCGCCGAGGGTGCGTGTCGAGTATTCCGATGATATCTTATCGGCCTCGAATTCCGCTATTCGAGATGCGACCGCCACATCCAACCCAGTGGCGGTTGCCTCATTTTTCCATTGTGTCTGTACCGCTGTTTTGGAAGGATTGTTCGCCAGCGGGCGCGACCATACTGGAATCCTCGGAGATGTCTCGAATCATTATGGTGTGGTGGAGACCAATGGCAGAGGGATGTTGCATTTACATGCAATGGTGTGGCTCAAAGGCAACCTAGAATTTGCTAACCTAAGAAGCCGCGTTCTCACCGACGCTGACTTTGCTTCGCGCGTGCTTCAATATCTCGAAAGCGTCATCATCCAGAGCGTGGATGAAAGTATTCCCCTGGATCCAGAGACCAATCTTTCGCCATCGTGCCTTCCTGCTTCCGACCCAGAATCGGATCATGATTTCTATCTCAAACTAGCTAATGACAGCAACCTTGTTGCTCGGTCTAAACAATTACACTCGAAGAGTCACTTCGCTACGTGTTTTAAATATCGCCTAACAGACCGGTCTAAAAACACTTGTCGTTTTGGAATGCCCCGTGAGATCGTGCCCTTTTCTAAAATCGACGATATTGGTGTGATCCACTTAGCTCGAAATCATCCCTGGATTAGCCCGTGGAATCCTTCTATCGCTAGCTGTCTTCGCTCAAATCACGACATCTCCTGGATCCCGACCGTCTCAAAATCGTTGGCTCCAGTCTACTACATCGCCGACTATGCCACTAAAGACGATGTGTCTCCGTGGCAGATGATAGCAAAAGGGGCTCTTTTGAAGCAGGCAATTGAAAAGGCAAAAACGGCCAACCCGCCAACCGCCACTGATCTGCGGCTTCGAGAAAAAGATATGGATAATTTTGCGCTCCGTTGCTTCAATAGTCTGGCGCACGACCGAGAAGTGAGTGGTGTTCAGGTCGCCAGTACCCTGCTCCATCTTCCGAGCTACTACACTGTCAACACAAAATTCGTCCGTGTCAATCTGTGGTGGCTAAGACAGTACGTACGTGATCTTCGGCACCGGAGTACAGACGCCGATGATTCCGCTGGAATTTCCGAGGAGCCCTGTACTTTCCAGACTAAGGAGGCAGTTCCAGCGAGCCTGTTCGACAATTACAAATGGCGCGGCGTCGATCTTGCCGCTTTCTCATTCTTTGAGTACTGCATGCTAGTTCAAACAGGAAGCAAACGAAGAAATCTTTCCGAACACTTCGAATTTGACCCGCGCCACCCGAAAGGTAGCGCCTGCGTTCAGCATGTAGCCCGCTCACCGTCCCAGATAGCCAATGTCGCGCTCAATGGGCAACTCACACAATACCAAACGGCGGAAGACTCGATCCGCGGAGGGCATCCGATGTCCGATGCCATTGCGAATGATCTCGCGGAGATACTTCTCGGCCTCTTTGTTCCCTGGGACAAACTACGCGATAGGTTTCTTTGTGAACCTCATGGAACGGATATCTTCTCACACATCTGGTTGTCAGTCAAGCCCACACTTGCGCCACATATCCAAGAGTTTGCCGTTAATATCGAGCTTCTTCGGAAATCCAAGGACGACTGCCAAGTCGACGCTAGATTACGACAGTCTATGAACCACCACGCCGAGCTGTTCGACCGCCATATTGATCACATAGATCCGGCCGACCTCGAGACGGGAGATTCACAAGATAACAATGAGTTTATAACTCCTAAAGATGAGAGGTTCACGGCGGAGACTTTAATTGCTGCCTACAATACCGTAAGCAAGGCCTGGGGCCGAGATTGTTTTATTGCTGCGAAGAGAGCACCCATCCTGGCCACTTCGTGCCGAGCACACAATGCCTCACAGATAAGCCCATTTCCTTCCAGTGCTCACTCTCTCCGACCTGACCATGCCTTGGATTTGAAACTTTTCCCACCCGCAGTCCTACAGAATTGGGAAAATCACCTTGCGAGCCGTAAAAAATCCTTTCAGGACGGTGGCCCTTCTAACCCTACCTCACAACTGCATGACTTTGATCTAGTTGATAAAGATGGCGTGCTGCAGCCTGTATTGACCAATACAAACATGCCTGGTGATGCACCGGCCCGGCCTGCTCTCGAAAATCCCACATCGGATTCTCTCTCGACGTTGGTCGCCAAAGATATCCCATTGAATACGAAGCAATTGCTTGTGGTCCGAAAGTTGCTAGCTGAAATTATGCGGTGGACTGAACATCCATGTGACTCATCACGGCGCGGGCAACTACTTCTGTGCATTACGGGCGAAGGTGGCACGGGTAAAACGCAGATACCTAGAGCCATTGAGGCCGCCCTAGATTTTCTTGGCCGGAAACACGAAATCATCCTCACAGCTCCCACAGGGGCCGCAGCGGACAATTTAGGGGGTAACACCTATCATACTTCTCTTGGCATCAATCTCTCCTATAAAGCAGCCGTGAGCACTCGCGTTAGAAGGCTATGGGCACGAAAGACGATCCTGGTGATTGACGAAATGAGCATGGTGGATTTGAAAATGTTAAGCGTGATCAACAATCAATGCAAAGTCGCCCGGTCACTGCCCAGATCCTCTCCCGATCTCTTTGGCGGCCTTCCTATCGTGATTCTCATGGGCGATTTCTTCCAGTTCCCTCCTGTTCGCGGCCCGCCATTATGGAAAAGCCCAAGGTATGGCAATGATGACGATGCCGCAGGTCGGCTGATTTGGCGTCGGTTCGAAAACGTCATCATTCTTGATGAGCAGATGAGACAATCCGAAGATCCTTCATTTCGCGATTTCTTGACGCGCACAAGGCAGGCTGCATTAACCGAAGAGGACATTGCCCGCCTGAATTCCCAATCTATCCCCTCACTTACAGATTCAACCTCAGAGAATGCCGTCGTCATAGTTAAATTAAACGCCATTCGACACCCAATCAACCGGATCCGTATCGAGGATTTTGCCCAGAGAAGGTCCCAGAGGATTTACATTTTCGCCGCGATTCACACCCGAACCAAATCAACTGGCCCCACGAACCTTAGACTTCAAGCTCATGACTTGCTGCTCCAACCAGACCACAGTGCCCAGATTCCATTCCCTGGCCTTCTTCTTTATACTAGGGATATGCCGACCGTAATGCTCACCAACGCTTGTACCCCTCTCGGTCAGGTCAACGGTGCCACGGGCACCGCAGTAGGGATTGTTTTGGATCCAGCTGGAAAGTTTCTATTTAGCATTCGACATATCTAAACGTCACTAATGTACCTTCGCAGCGGAATTATTTGATTTGGATGATCTTTACACGCTCTGCACGAGACCGCCTGCTTCCGTTATATTCAAACCAGATAGAACTTTACCAACACATTTTGACAAACTTCCATCCTCGACCATGCCAATCTTCCCAATCGAACGTTCTATCACCGTTAAAGGCTTATCCGTGAGAAGAAAGCAGATCCCAATATGCCCTGCTTTTTGCCTCACCGATTACAAAGTGCAAGGCTCAACTCTCTCTGCCGCAATCCTAGACTTAAAGAACGATACGGCTCGACGAGGACAAGATTCTCATAGAAAGTACTGCTCTCTCTACGTTCAGCTTTCCAGGCTGCGATCTTTTCAAGACCTCCATTTACTACAAAAGATTACTCTTGATGATCTCCGCTTTTCTCCCGACCCCGACCTCATCGTTGAAATGGAAAGATTACGTGCATTAGAAGCCAAAACACTTGCGGCTTGGGCTTTACCTGTCTGACTCAGCCTCTTCAACTTTCATCCCTGATGTTGATATTACCACGTCCTCAAGATCAAAGACCACTAATGCCACGTCGTTTCAGGGCTTTACAGCGTGCAGCCGCGCGCGTCTTGCCCTGAAACGAACGAAGTGAGAGGAAGGGGGAACGTCCCGCACGTGACAGATCTTTTTTTGGAACCTTGCCCTGAAACGAACGAAGTGAGAGGAAGGGGGAACGTCCCGCACGTGACAGATCTTTTTTGGAACCTTATCTGTCGTGGGGATTCGTGAGGTCTGCTAAATCCCATACAAAATTTTGGTGCGAAATTGGACTGAAATCGCGATGATTGGGTCGCCGAGCTTCGGTGTTATTGGACGGTTGCCTTCAGCGCCATTGGACAAAGGCTTCTGCCGGAAACGACTCTAGTTTCCCATTCTTTGTCCAATCTGCACCTCTGTTGATGTTTTGTAGCTTTTCAGTTTTTGTTGCTCACTCAGACTCCAGTCGGAGCATTGGCTTTCGGTGCTATTTTTGTTTCGGGGATGGCGTTCGCTACCATGATATAAATGAATCTTATCGGATTCGGCTACACTTTTCCGGAACCTTAATCATGTTAGAACTCATCCAGCCACAGTTCCTTTCGTCGTTAGGCTCGTATCCTTGTGATGAGGAGCGATGTTTAAGTTCTTGGCCAAACATTGTCGACATCATCACTCTCTTGCAGTGAAGATATTCTCGCCTTATTATTGGTGTTGTGACGATGCGCTTTGCATTTTTACTTTCCCAAAAGGTTTCTATGCATTGCTAACTTTGTATCAATTTGATGTCCTGACGCTAGATGTTCTTTACACTTATATTTCGTATGTCTGTGACTGTCTTGAATGCCACTTCTTGTTCACAACGCTTCAGTTTTGCACTATCTCGGTCTTTATTCCCTCTCAGCTTGTCGTCCTTACGCCGTCTTAGGTAAACTCGCCAGCTATTCTTCACTTGAGGGACTTCATAAACAGCGTGGGACCCATCCCGTCTCGACCGGAATAGGGACTCGCTCTGCAAGTTGAAGCTTCGTTACACCTTCCGTTTCAAACGGATCTGCACTCGGACGATGTTGAATGGACTGAGCTTCCGATACTATACATTTCTTTGCCTCTCTGGGAAATCCTCAGTCCTACGAGCCCGACAAATTCATCTATGCCTGGGGCTCATTCTTAACTTCTGTTGACCAAGGCGGGTCTCTACATCTAATTTTACACGCCCATGAGGTTGACTGGTGAGATACCGCATCCCAACGCCACCCTTATTACCCCACCGCTGAAGGTTTCCTTAGCCATCCTGGTGACTATTCTGATCCTCATGCATGCAATATGCACTGCCCAGAGGCCGCCCTCCCCACCGTTAGCTTGCTAGGAATGGTCAGCGGTGGAGGGGGCTACTCTGTTGCATTATGACCTCGAGACTCATGTCTATGATCCCTCC